CCCCTCTTCTTCATGTCTCTTCTACATCAACATGTGTCCCCTCTTCTTCATGTCTCTTCTACATCAACATGTGTCCCCTCTTCTTCATGTCTTTTCTACATCAACATGTGTCCCCTCTGTGGAAAGAGACTCTAAAAGTTTCAGGAACAAAGATTCTCTCTCTTTTTGATCCATTTCTATTAAAATCTGTCTGAAAATGAGCTGATCAGATTTTGGCCACTTTATGATGTCATAACGATGTTTTGTCTTGTGTAACCATTAGCCAATCACCAACCAAGGTAACCCCCCCCCCACCTTATCACCTGAATCTCCTCCTAGAGCACCATTGAGTTCTTTGTAAATGTCTCTCAGAGGGGCGTGGGGAGGGGCTCCTTATTTTCATCTAAAGTAACAGACAGAGAATCAGCACTTTGGAAACAGGGCTGAAACAGAGGGGATTATGGGTAATGCTGCAATGATCTGTTTGGTGTTTCAGCCAATCAGAGACAGGTTCTGTATTTATCTGATACCTATAATATATTGATGAAAAACAGTATAATAGGGGACCTTTAAAGCAAAACCACTTCTGCTGCATAAACCCAGGAGATGAAAACAAAAAGCACGGTCCTTATCTGGCCCCACACTCACATGGCCCCTCCCCAACTACAAAAAGAAGTTCCCTCTGTGTTTTGACTGCAGCGCGCTGCTATCTGAAGTATATCCGGTGCAACAATACCCCATTGTTTGCTGACAGGATGAACTCAGAGATTCTTTAGAGAGAAGCCAAGACTCCCAGAGACTGAGGAGGAGCAGCGTCTTGTGACAGTTTGACTGTAGGTTTAATGATTTTCCTTTGGGGTGCCGTCGGGTCTCTCTCCTGACATTTAAGATGTGTATAGTCACAGTTGAGTAAGTCGGTACTGCACACAGGTGAATACAACTCACTGCAAACACCCAACATTGGATGACATTAGAAAATTAGAATAGCAAGTATATTTCAAATATCCCACAGTTCACAATTAAATCAGCAGCAGAAAACCTCCAGAGCTGCGTCTGAGTCCAACAATCTCCACAAGATCTCAGAGGCTTATCTGCTAACCGCCGGCTCAGATCAAAACTGAACGTACTGTCTGCAGGAGTCAGTGAATGCACCTCCAACACACTGCTGCTTTCAACAAGTCCTACGTTGTAACGGATGGAAAATCAACCTTTTGTTGGTTTTATTAAACGGACAGAAGCATATTCCATATACATAAATCACATAGATTTGTGGCAGAGGCTGACCTGGTGCTGCTGTGTGGACGTTAAATATATTACATTAAATGACACTTACTCTGTGAATGATATGTTATTTAGTGACTCCTGACACAGTCCATGAAACGTGCAACTATTTGTTAACTGTATCTATTTCAACCTGATTCATCTTTGCGTTGAGTCGGTGCGATTCTTAAATTGCATTTCATTTTGTTGAAACGAATAAATCAGTTTGCAGAAATATTAGGCAGAGAGGTCCAACGATTAAACACTAGTTCTTATTCATTATTTATTTAACCAAAAGGTCTGTTACGATGGAAACAAACGTACGTCTATTATTATTCCTTACTGCTTATGTCGTAGAAAACAAAGCATCCATTTAAAGGTCACCTATCGTGCTATTTGTAGGCAATAGCACAGGTCTCAGATATATACAAATATATAAAACACATGTTTATGAAGTGTTTTGCTCAAAATACCAAACATATCACCCATTCTAACCACGCCTCATATCCCTCTATTTCACTTCCTGTTTCAAAAGTGCTGATTTTGGGAATAAAGCTTTAAAAAAAAGAATTGATACAAATTAAAAAGAGGAGGAGTCTGAGCTCATGGGGACCCGGCAGCTACTGTCTAAACTAAATGCTGCCGTGATGAAACGCCATATCATGGATTATCAAGGATTCTCTCTGAAACAGTATGGAGCTCAAAGGCTTTCTGTCTTGTAGGTTATACCACAAGGTGAGTTCCTTTTTACTTCCTGCTTCTTCACACACATGCTCTCCAGTACAGGTTAGCTCTGAGTGTTAGCGATGCTAATGTGAACACCGACCATATTACGTCCAAAACTGTCGAGCATTGTTTCTGATAGCAACGATTCTGATTGGCCCGTGGGTCCACATTTCAGATATTACGTCATATCGGACTCAAATCTGGATCAGCTCCGTTGTTCCCCGTTTTTAGAGATTTGGGTACGGAGGAAAAGAGAGAGGGTTTTATTTTCTGACGCTGCGTGAGTTCCCCGACGCACATATTGATGTATACAAGACATCAAAAAGTGCCTTTTGCATGATAGGTCCCCTTTAATACTAAGGATTTTTACTGAGAAGATGTACCATGATTAAACACCACAGCCATAGGTATGAACGTTTCTATAGAAGCTTTTGCATCCACCATTGCACTTGATTCTACAGAGAATAATAGAAAATTATAATAATTATAATAATAATATTAATAAAGAGAGCCTTAGGAAGAAAACCTGCAGGATCAAGAGATCATTGTAGCAATATATATGATACTTTTTTGAATAACAATCCAACTTAAGACCAAACTTTAACCATACAGCTGTGCACAAGAACAGGCATCATGTCAGCAAAAGGTCTCGATAACTGAACCTGCATTTATAGATAGGATTGTATTGTGCAGTATATTTTAACGCTTTAAAAGACCAACATACAACTTCAGCTGTCTGATCATAAACCTGGGAATATTTCCAACCTTCCCCATGATGTGAAGCCTTTAAAATCACAAGACAAACCCCAAATAAGATTAGATTAAAAGTACGTTATGGGTTTTCTCCTCGTCTCCTTGCGGCTTCATTACTACAGGAATGGTTGCAGAGTTAAACGTCTGAGGTAAAGTGTGGAGCCAGATGAGGGAAACTGTGAGGTCATGAATATATCAAAGGAGGTCTGTAGTGAGAGGGAAAGTTGGACAGCGCTGAGTCTGAGGTGGATAAATGGGGAGGGGGTGTGTGAAGGGCTGGACCAGTCACAGCTGGAGGTTAAATATATCCTCCAGAAACAGCACCCACTTGTTGTTTGTCGGCTGAAACTAGAAATAAAGAGAGAGCCGGTTCAACGTGTTGCCGTTTGAAAAGCAACGCACACTTCTGAGCTTTAGTTGTTGAATAAAAGTGGGACAAACATCTGGCATCACAAGGCACAGTCAAGATGTGCAAAACATGAACAATATGTAAAACAGATCTGCTTTGAAATGACTTTTTCCAACGCCCTTTTCCAGCTGGATCTGATCATTTTGCACACGAGTGTTTTCTCCTTCTGTTTAGCTGGCACTGAGAGAAACATTGAGGTCCAGGGAGTGAGTTTTTCCACGAGAACAGCAGTGTGGTAGCCAGATCTGTTTGTGTGTTCACAGACGATTAGCTGCTCACTATTTCACGGCTCCTTAAAGCGGCTCGACTTAGTGAAAGAAAACAAATTAATGGTCACACAGGGGTCTCTGCAGGTCTGTGAAGTCTGAAAACCGCTCTCATTTCTTGCTGATAGAGAGACTAAACAAGTGTGGGAAAGATTGTGTATTAATTAAACGTATACAGTGTTTATCAAGCTTTACAGTCTCATGGGGATAACTGAAGATAGTTTACGGCTGCCTTTAAAGAACAAAACATCTGAGGAAAACCCAAAACTTATTGGCATGAAAACAGTGAGCATTATTTAAGTATTTGATATTGAGCGTCAAGTTGCTTGAGTCTGGAAAGATTGACTGACTTATCAATACAATATATGTGTGTTGTTGTGCACGCTGCAACACTTTTAAAGTGCTGTTGTTTTAAAATGTAATAAACAGATTTCAGGTTTAACAGTCTGGAGTCGATCGATAGTGATTCTACAGTCAAATGTTAGGGTTTATCTTAAGGTCGTTATTCCTTAATTGGTCTAACATGTAACTAGAGGAGTTGGAGCGTCTGATTTTCGATTATTAACTGTTTATTCATTATGTATTAAGTTGTAAAACACTGGAAACTTTAACTGGTGAAAAACAGATGAAAATGTATAAAATAAAACTGTTTCTAGCTGCAGAATATTTGAGAGGAATCCAATCTATACTTCTTAAAGACACAAGTATCTCCCAACGTCTCAAACCCAAACAAAAATATAAACTGGATCAAAATATACACGCAGGAAATTGAGCTTCCCTTAGATTTTTAAGCTACTTATTGATTGAATAAAACAGCAAGAAATATTATAATTATGAGGTAATGTTTTTTCTAGTGACTGCTCTACTCTTCCATATTATGCTGCTAACCTTAGATGCATAAGTGGGTCTTTTTGGACCCGGTGAGGTGGTTTTCTTGAAGTATCTTTGTAATTTAAAAAAATTATCATTTCATATTCCAGCTATTCCTCAAAAAACATGTTTTGGATATCATGCCATTCAAATTTTTAATTTACATTTAAAGACATTTTAGTTTTTGTATTTCTACCCCAAGCTTCCATCAGTGGGTCAAAAATGACCCGCATGCATTTTCTATGGAATTTCATTTTTTTTTTCAAAATGTAAAAGAAATGTCTAAAATTATAAATAGTGAAAAATTAAATATAAAATATTTCTAGTGTGAACCAAAATATAATGCTACATTTATACAAGTGATTTTTCTGAACCAAAATGACAAAAATGGCATAAAAACACATTATTCTAATACGAGTCCTTTTTGACCCACTTATGGAGTGTAGGGTCCAGTCACTCGGGCATCTAAGGGTTACATTGTGTGAGGCAGTCATGAAATCATTGGGGTGTAATGCGGAGCGAGTCACGTGTGAAGTAAACATGTCGAAACATGAGAGCAATTAGTCCTGAAGTCACACGATGTCTGAGTATCGTGACACGACATCAACCGGTTTCTAACGTGAGTCATCAAAACTGTGGGAACACGGCGAGTCCAGAAACCGTTTCCTAAACACATACTTGAGTGAAAGCAGTTTTAATAAATCCTTGCTGGAGATTAAAACATAAAACAAGCAGTGGTCTGTTTTTGTTTTTTATTTAATAAGCTGGTTCATAAATTATCGCACATAAAAGACTCTTCATCAATAGTTACAAAGTGGATAGCAACTTCATTAGCGCCTGGAAAAATGATAAAAACAAATCAGGAGGAGTTTGTGGAGAGGGGGGGGGGGGGTTGATCTTGATAAATCATGAGTTCACACAGTGGAGGAGAGGGGGGGGGGCAACAGAGAGTAGGGGGGGTTTCAACATCCAACCACTGTCGCTTCGTATTCCCGTTAAACTTCTTAACGCTCGGACTAGCAGCGAACAAAACGGTGGCATGCGTTTCGTCTTTCATGCCGGAAAAACCTTGTTTCTTTTCTCCAGTGTATTAAAAAAAAAATAGGAGTGAAGAGGGGGAATAAATTATAAAATAATAACAACAAAAAAGACAACACTAGCTACATGTGAGGTTCACGAAAAACAACTAATGACAGAATGAAGCGGCGTCTTCTTGGCTCGGTTACCCTTCTGTTCTCGAAGGGTTAGCGAGAGGCTAACGGGGGTTTCAATAACTCATTATGGAGTGGAATAAACCCCCGTTCTTCTTTGATTTCACTTCTTTCCTACAACTATCTCCCTCCCCCCTCGGAGGGTCTAGATCTCGGTCTGAAATCGGTCCCGGATGTGTTTGATACGACGGATGTATGGAGGATCGGGATGTAACCCGCCTCGCTAAAACTGGTCTGAATGAGCGATGGGTGTCCGCCATTTCTAACGCTAGTTTTCTCTCTACGGCGCCCCCCAAATCCTCTCCCCGTGAGGATTCGAGCGGCCAGAGCTTCTCTCGGTGTCACGGGAGCCTACTTGGACATTTGCTGCTGAATTTGCTCCAGGAATTGTGATAAAGATGAATCCGAGTCCGAGCTATCCTCCACCAGGTACTGGAAGAAGGTGGCTTTAGAGGAAGCTTCGTCCCTGCAGGAGGACACAGAAGAGTAGACATGTATTATTATGGATTCTATGTAAGGCTGAGTATCGTTTGAATACCACAGAGAGACAGCTTCATCCCGCAGGCAATAAGACAATTTCATAACATTCATCTGCTACTTAGTAATTATCTATCCATTATATCATTCCAATAACTACTTTTTTTTTGTATTACTTTTAATATAATATACTTTAATATTGTTTTAATATTGTCTGCTTATCTGTATTATTGTGTTGCATTGTTGGAGAAGCCTGTGACCTAAGATTTTCAACGACATAATTACTCTGTACCTATGTTAGTTTGACAATAAGGAACCTTGAACCTTGAATATGTTCTATATATACATACATTTGTCCTGTTGTAATTTGTTGTGCGGGTTATTCTTTCATCCATACATGTTAAAGAAAATGGGATCTTAATACATCTTATGCCCCATGATACTAAATGTCAAACCTAATCAGAATCGGTCTTATGTAAACACACATGCATTAACCAGGCTCATGAGGAAGTTAATGAGTTCAATAGAGTGTATCAGACACACATACATGCGATGCAGTGGTTGAGGAATCTTAACATGAGTAAAAATAGAAACAAACATGGTACTTAAACCCTCAATTACCAGTTTAAATTATTTTTAATGGTTCGTTTATTATTACTGAAACATTTATCTTAGGTATTATAAGTATAATATAATATCCAGCAGTGGCTCAGTCAGTCAGGCTTGGACTGGGAGCTGTAGGGTCGCCGGTTCAAGTCCCCGACCAGACCTAAACTATGGAGTGTGGACTACTACTTAGAGAGGTCCCAGTTCACCTCCTGCTGTGAATATCACGGAAGGAGCAATCTCTTTCTCATCCAAAAAAATACCTGATAACCCACTTTTTAAATATTTGTTTTGGTTCAAATATACTTAATATACTATTAACACATAGATCAATGGCGAGGTAAAAGGTACACACATCATATCACCCAGACTATGATCGGGTTTATGGACTGTTTGTCGTATCGTCGGACATTACAATTAAAAACTTGGGCTCCAGAAATTATAAAGGGCATCGGCAGCGATTTCTGACATCATTTCTATTGGTCAAACAATCAGTTGAGAAAATAATCAATAATCGAAAAAATACAAAAATGAATTTAATGACTTTGAGCTTCATAACACTGCAACCAAACACTTTTATACATAATACATATAATATTACATTTCTAACCATTTTAATGTTCCCTTTTTTCCAAGTAAAAAATCTTGTTTTTGTTATAGTGTGACTTTCCACTGTCTCAAAACATTTCAAAAATGTAACTCATGACAAGTATTTCTCATTTGTCAGAGGCATGACAACACCCCCAGTTATTTTCGCTGACATCAGCTGTTCTCCACAACAACAACAACAGTGTGGTGTAAACACATGTTGGAGCAACAATGCAGAGCCACAGAGGAGGAGAACAACAACAATGAGCTTTCGATCAACGACCTCACTGTATATGGAAATATTTCTGTCGCTCTCAGACCCAGATCTCTGCTGCGAGAAAGATTCCAGAGAGCGGTCACACCCGGTTTCTGAGTTTCAGTCAGAAGGACATCAAACAAGATGGGTGTTGTTTAGATGTTGACAACAACAACAACAACAAAACCATGGTGCCGTCAGCTTTTTTCTGAAACAGACTAAGACAGGTGTTCCTAACCGTTGCCTTAAAATGGACCACTATTCTATTATTCCTAAACTGACTGTGGGTGTTTCTCAATGTCGAGGACGCTTCCTTGGTAGGACATGTCCGTCCGAGTCAGGTCCTTCAGAAGCGAGGCAAGAATCCTTCCTTGCCTCGGAAAACGAAGAATGGTGGAACAGGCTAACAGGTGTGCGTCATGTGCGAGGCCCCGCCTTAAATGGAGCACGATTTCCACCAAAGATTTGGGAAATCGGTCCGTACACAAAGCATTGTGGGGATTTTAAGACCGCGGAGGATACACATCGAAATTTTCCGCAACGAAGTACACCGGCCTCGGTAGAATTCCAAGCATCCTGGACATTGGAACAGTCCTTCGGCGGGACTCGATGACGTAGCATCCTTGAAATAGTGGCTCTGGAGCAGCCTTCCTCGACATTGAGAAACACCCTGTTACTAAATACTTTATGGATATATTATATTATTTTCAATACATAACAACAACAGTAAAGAAATACCAATACAATATAAAATAAAGTTAAAGAGTGAACATTTATTTATTTTAAGGAATTTTGAGCAGATTATTTCCAGTGAATATTGCATCAGAGATCATGTCTCCATTTGTTTAAACAATGATGTTATACAACTCTGTCTGTAGTGTGTTGTATTCAATAAAAGGTTTAGTAAAAGTGTGTGTCCAAATATTCTCTTTACCCTTATCCTGGGAGATTGATGTCGTAAAACATAATCCAAACTTTAAAAAAGTAGTTTAATTTGTCTTTTTTAACAGTAATAAATTAAACCCGATTTAAAAATAATAAGTTGTCGTACACCCCTTAAAATACACATCTTGTAATCAATAAGGCCTCAAGACCCCTGTGAAGATTGTCACTAAACCTTAGGACACATTATCACGCTATATTAGAGACTAAACTTTATTATTATTAGTTTTTATAAAGATTTATGTTTGGGGGTTTCTTAGTGGTCTGATTGTTGGGACCAAGCCCCCAGGAAGTGCGCCGGACTCTGAGAAAAATATTCGTAGTGTCCAAACGGCGGTACTGCAACTTCCGTTTCAGCCCGTGACGTCACTGTGCCCAGAAATACTTTTCCCCATTGATTAAGAGACGTCTGTAAATCGTTGGATACATTTTTTTACTAAATAAACTACCCAGTATGAACATTTGTGTAGCCCTTATTAAAAACATTAGGTCCTCAAGTTGTAAAATGTGCTAATAACGTTATTCTGAGAGTTATTTTCCTCGGCGTTATGAACGCGCCAGGCATGATGGGTAATCTGTGACATTTCGCTCTCTCAAAAGCTGGGCCATTTTGTCCTCATGCGCCAATGAGCAGCTCTCATAGGAAAGAACGAGACCCCGCCTCCCACGCTGTATCCAGTTCTTATTACATGGCTTAGTTGAATACTCGATTCTGATTGGTCAATTGAGAACACGTGACAGGTTGATAATCCAGAACAGACAGACCGCTGTCAAGGATTTATTGACCGTTGTGAAGGACGCTCACGTCTGCAAAAAGAAGTCCGGTCGATTGAACTCTATACAGTTTGGAGGGACAAGAAAACAGCGGAGAAGTAACGGGCAGGAACCCTCCTTTTTACGCAGCGGTCCAGACATAGACATCAAACGGCGACACATATTCAGTGTGCAGTTCCTTTGGCATCAGGGCAGGGATATCGAGATGCTTTCAAAGGTTTGACATCATGAATTGTGCTACTTTTAAAGCAAGCAACGATGTTTTCAAATCTGTAATCAAAAAGATCCACAAAAACGCTATCGAAGCACTTCCTGCCGCTGCTCCGTAGTTCAAACGGTAACAACGGACTATTTTTCTTAGCAGATGTATGTCAATTTAAATAAATCATAGCCTACTATTTTTTAAATCAATAAAAACATTTCAAATAATATTGGGAGTCATGTCGTTACTTTGTTGAGAATGTGGCCGTGTAATAAGCGGGATAATGTGCGGTGACTTGGTCATTATGGAGACCACCCTTCATGCTGATGAAGATAGCAGGGTTTCCCACATAGACTTTACTGCGGGCCGCACAGGTATATTAACGGCCACCAAAGTATAACTCGCGAGCCATTTAGGTTGATTTTTTTTATCCGTCCGCAAGCACGACGGCATCTGCGACCCATCGCTCTACCCCTCGCTATCGCGTGAAGGGTCTGCTTTATGCGCTCCGCACAGTAACCCTGCTGCGAGGCTCTGGCGAACAGTTCATGAGCGTGCTCACTAGCGCACCCCCCCTTCATTCACTAGCGCACCCCCCCTTCATAAAGTCAAGAACCCCTCAAAAGGTACGGTTTATTTCATTTTAAGGATGCGCACAAAGCAACATCTCCAGGTGCTCCTTTGAGAACCAGGGCAAAAGAGTTATGTGCACCCCTGATTATGACGCTCCGATCTACTTTAAAATAGTTGGAAGAGGAACTGGAACTCATTTCTGTAACGGAAAATCAAAGTAAACTATGTCCTCTTGCCAAAACATAACAGATAAGGAACAACAAAAGAATTAGAAGCAGCCTCTCAGACTTTTATAAACCCCAGCATCTGGATATGAGACGATGTGAGTGTTAGTATTTCTACTGAACTTCAACCTAATCATTTGTCAGACCTTATGACGCTCCGAACTACTTTAAAATAGCTGGAAGAGGAACTGAAACCCATTTCTGTAACGGCAAATCAAAGTTAACTATATCATTATATCAAAACAGAACAGATAAGGAACAAAAAGAGGAAGTAGCAGCCTCTCAGACTTTTCTACAGCCCAACATCTGGATGTGAGACGATGTGAGTGTTATTAGGAGTCAGATGCTGCTCCAGATGTGCGGTGGTCTTATTCTGTTAGTTTTTATAAAGATTCCTTTTTTAGGAGTTGTCTTGGTGGTCTGATGTTTGGGACACGTCAAATATAACTGCGACTTCTCATCTTTGTGTATTTGTGTATTGGGGATTGTTAGAAACGGTATTTGGATCTCTCTGTCGGTACACACAAACTTTGACGGAGGTCTTACTTGAGGACGTGGATGGTGGAGCAGAACGCTCTGTTGTCCTGCAGCCAGTCGAGGAACGCTCGCACTCGCTCCGACAGAGGGGTCTCCAGCTCAGGGATGTGACTCTGCAAGAGAGGACGGGGGGGAACAACGCTTTAAAATCACCAAGATCCCTCGTAGACCTCCACACAACATATAGGCAAGGCAAGGCAGGTTTAATCATACAGCACCTTTCAACACAAGGCAATTCAAAGTGCTTTACACAAATGAAAGACATTAAGAGCACATTAGAAACATTAAAAAGCAAAGATAGTAAAATATGAATAACACAGGTTCATGAATACAAGCTGCAGTGCAAGATGTGAATAGTTCAATTAAAAGCAGCGGCAAAAAGAAAAGTCTTCAGCCTGGATTTAAAAGTAGCAAGAGTTGCAGCGGTGTTATATACCGTTATATATCACCTCCTTGTGCTATTTCACTATGTATCATCATTACTGGCTGCTACTTACTTTGCACTTCTTACTTCTTTAACCACACTGCTGTAAAATAACACTGTGCGCTATATATACACCTTTTACTAGGGTTGTCAACATTAATGCTTTTGCGATTAATCTCGGAAGCTTAGTGTGCTCAAAGAAACATAAATTAATCAAATGACCAAGTTTGACCCCAACTTCCTCCCTAATTCCAGCGCAGATGTTTACAATAAACTCCTTGGCAGCGAAAAGGCAAAGAAAGCGGAGGATCTTGCAAAAATAATGTATGTAAGAGACCACTGCACCAGACCAGTAAGAACCATCACGACCTCGCTGTAGCTGCCTTCATTTGAGTTACATTTTGCTGAATCATGGTCCAGTTTCTTGAAGTTGCATCGGAGTGTGAGAAAGTGGACCGAGTCACCTCTGTAGGAACAGATAGAGCTGCACTATGACAGCGTAAGAGATGATATAACCTGTGTAGAGCACATTATACAGAGGGGAATCATGGCAGCTTTGTCGATGCTTTAGATGTAACGGCCCGTCCACACGGCGGCGTGCGTTGAAGCTTCAAAGCGTCACCCCATTCACTTTGAATGGGGTGACGCTTTGCCGAACTGCATTGTGGTTCCGTCGCTTCGCTCGCTTCAAAAGTTGAGCAATGTTTAACTTTTGAAGTTCCGACGGAAGCGTCAGCCAATCAAATCACAAGCTCTAGCGAATCAAACCGCGTGCTTGTGTGTCTGGGGCGGGAGATTCATGTGATTGGTTGTTGGTCGAGTTTTAGACACGCCCGCCGGCAAGCTTCAACGCACGCCGCCGTGTGGACGCTGCGTTAGTGTCGAAAGATGTACGGACTTCATGCCAATCATTCAGAAATCATGTTACATATAGTAAATACAAACCTCTTATTTCTCTGACCAGTGTCATGCATGTCTTTATTACAACAACACCACCCATGTATTGCACTATCTATTCTATTTGATCTGTTTTATGTCCTATATGTATTCATGTTGCACTGTTGTAGGAGCCTGTGACCTACGTTTTTCATTGCCATATCTACACTGTAGCTAATATGCACATGACCCTGTCCTGGGAGTGGATCAGGAGTCGTTGGCAGTGGCGTCGGAGAGGAGCAAGTTGAGGAAACCTCTCAACATTCTGGACAACGGGTCTCACCCGCTGCATGCCACACTGGTTTCCTACCGGAGCACTTTCAGCCACAGACTGAGACCACCGAAGACCACCACGGAGCGGAGTGGAGTCTTTCCTCCCAGTGGCCATCAAACCCTAACCCCAATATAATTACCATCATTACAATACACTCGCTGCTATACAACATAATATGCTATGATAACGTGCAATTACGTAACTGCCACTACTAAATACTGCTGATAATTGCATTGATTGTGTGACCATCTATGTTTCATGTTTTCTGTAGATGTTTAATTGCTCTTTTTAATGCACAGTTTTGATGTTGTGCTGCTGTGTTTATTGTATTTTTGTTACTCTGGCAAAACAATTTCCTTCGGGATAAATAAAGTCTTACCTCAAAATACAGTATTATAATTCTCTTTTTGTATTAAACGCAATTACATTTCTATCTGATTAACACCACTACTTACAAATGACTCCTGGTTCCCTCGTCACTACTTTAATATGTCTATAATGCTGCTACCTATCCTTTCTACCTTGAATCTGCGCCTTTGTCTTTATCTGCACTGTCACATTTTGCTGTTACAGTGTAAACGTCCCCGCTGTGGGCCATTCCAGAATAAAGGATTTCTGCATTGTTGTCATTGCTGAGTCTCAAAACAGATCATGTTTATTCACACAATCATCTCCCCACAGTGTGGTTAACAGAAATATGCCCGCATAAACAAACGCTGACGCTTGTTCTGGAAGTCACCATCACAGTGTGCTAATGACTGAGGGCACAGTTTGTTTAAAAAGCTTCACCAGCAAATCTGCCAGACACAGACACACACACACACACACACACACACACACACACACACACACACACACACACACACACACACACACACACACACACACACACACACACACACACCACACACACACACACACACACACACACCACACACACACACCCACACACACACACACACCACACACACACACACACCACACACACACACACACACACACACACACACACACACACACCACACCACACACACACACACACACCACACAACACACACACACACACACACACACACATCACACACACACACACACACACACACACACACACACACACACACACACACCACACACACACACACACAACACACACACACACACCACACACACACACACACACACACACACACACAACACACACACACCACACACACACACACACACACACACACACACACACACACACACACACACACACACACACACACACACACACACACACACACACACAGGAAGCTGCATTGCATCAGTCGTGCAGAACCTGGGCGGTGGTGTGTAAAATAAAACCACAATTTCCCGAATCAGTTACTTCCTGTCATGTTGGATGTGGCTCCAAAAGTCAGATTTTATGCAGAAATTCAAAAGATATTATTTGAATGCTGGACATCTTATTTTGAAATTCTGGATAAAAAATTCTCATTTTTGAGATTGAGATTTTGCTTTTCAAAATAAGATGTCCATCATTAAAAGAATGTCTTATTTTGAAATGCTGGATACATTTTCTCACTTTTATCTCAGTTAAAGGAGGGCATTTCAACCTGCTTTTCAAAATAAGATGTCTATCATTAAAAGAATGTCTTATTTTGAAATTCTGGATACATTTTCTCTCAGTTAAAGGAGGAGATTTCACTCTGCTTTTCAAAATAAGATGTCCGTCATTAAAAGAATGTCTTATTTTGAAATGCTGGATAAATTCTCACTTTTATCTCAGTTAAAGGAGGGCATTTCAACCTGCTTTTCAAAATAAGATGTATATCATTAAAATAATGTCTTATTTTGAAATGCTGGATACATTTTCTCACTTTTCTCTCAGTTAAAGGAGGAGATTTAACCCTGCTTTTCAAAATAAGATGTCCATCATTAAAAGAATGTCTTATTTTGAAATGCTGGATACATTTTCTCTCAGTTAAAAGGAGGAGATTTAACCCTGCTTTTCAAAATAAGATGTCCATCATTAAAAGAATGTCTTATTTTGAAATGCTGGATGCTTGTTCACAGTGTCACTGACCATGTTCTGGGGTATTGCAGCGTAGTTGGGACAGCCCAGAACGTCTCTGATGAACATCTCGTTGCAGTTTTTGCCGATCCAAAAATAAAACACCTGCACAGAGAGAAACAGAGAGTCAGGAAAGTGCATTTATTATTCATGAAACACAGATAGGTTTTGAAAAATACACACAAAAGATCCCCAAGATGAGGTGGATGCTACAGAAAGAAGGGCCATAAAAACGGTAATCAACTAATTTATTGTGTATGAACTCACATGATCTCAAATGAAGAGAATTTGTTAACAAAGATGTTTCCAGTAATAAATAATAGTTAGTAAAGTCAATGAAAAGGACTTAATGTGTAAAAAAGCTATTAAATACATATTAATAGACTTAATAATTATTAAACAATATTTTAAAAAAATGCCATAGTTAACACATTTAAACGAATGTATGAACACTTGTGTATTGTATTAATAATAATCATGAAGCCTTACGTTTCCACAGTCCATGAGGAAGGCCCCGTCGCGGCTCAGCCTCTCTGAGCTCAGGTGCAGCAGGGGAGGCTGAGGGACCACCGAGTCGTTCAGGTGCAGCGCCCCCTGCAGGACACACAGGACAGTGCACTGGGTGAGCCATTTGTTTTAAATATATTAATCAAAACAAAAGAGTAACCCTAACTGTTAAGAAGCATAAAAAGGTCATGTTCAAATCTCCTTCAAAATGATTCTTGAACATCCATTCATCAGGGCAATCATTTTTCATGGCAAAAATGCAGTTTTGATCATCTTAAAGGTCCCATGTCATGCTTTTCCGGTTATTACCCGTCCCCTTGTGTGTTATGAAGGTTTTTCTGCATGTAAACGGTCTGCAGAGTCAAAAACCCTCAAAGTACACCCTGTAGCGAGTAAAACTCTAACACAGAAAATATCTGTCTATGCTGCCCCAGAACGCCTCGTTGGAGATTTCTCTTTTTCCATTTTTTTCTTCCTGGTCATAGTGACGTAACGGTCATAGTGACGTAACGGTCATAGTGACGTAACGGTCATAGTGACGTAACGAGTATAGTGACGTAACGAGTATAGTGACGTAACGAGTATAGTGACGTAACGGTCATAGTGACGTAACGGTCATAGTGACGTAACGAGTATAGTGGCGTAACGGTCATAGTGGCGTAACGGTCATAGTGGCGTAACAGTCATAGTGACGCAACGAGTATAGTGACGTAACGAGTATAGTGGCGTAACGAGTATAGTGGCGTAACGGTCATAGTGGCGTAACAGTCATAGTGACGTAACGAGTATAGTGACGTAACGAGTATAGTGACGTAACGAGTATAGTGGCGTAACGGTCATAGTGACGTAACGAGTATAGTGACGTAACGAGTATAGTGACGTAACGGTCATAGTGACGTAACGAGTATAATGACCTAACGAGTATAGTGACGTAACGGTCATAGTGACGTAACGAGTATAGTGACCTAACGAGTATAGTGACGTAACGAGTATAGTGCCGTAACGAGTATAGTGACGTAACGGTCATAGTGACGTAACGGTCATAGTGACGTAACGAGTATAGTGACGTAACGAGTATAGTGACGTAACGGTCATAGTGACGTAACAAGTATAGTGACGTAACGGTCATAGTGACGTAACGGTTATAGTGATGTAACGGTCATAGTGACGTAACGGTCATAGTGACGTAACAAGTATAGTGACGTAACGAGTATAGTGACCTAACGAGTATAGTGACGTAACGAGTATAGTGCCGTAACGAGTATAGTGACGTAACGGTCATAGTGACGTAACGGTCATAGTGACGTAACAAGTATAGTGACGTAACGGTCATAGTGACGTAACGGTCATAGTGACGTAACAAGTATAGTGACGTAACGGTCATAGTGACGTAACGGTTATAGTGATGTAACGGTCATAGTGACGTAACGGTCATAGTGACGTAACAAGTATAGTGACGTAACGGTCATAGTGACGTAACGGCTCCGCGGATCACACACACTGACTCAGCCTTATCTTTTGACCTGGCTGTGAGTGTGTGTGTGTGTGTGTGTGCGTGTGTGTGTGTGTGCTCAGGCTGAGTTCCGGGGTGTCTCGCTGTCTCACAGACCCCACGCAGCAACCAGGAAACGACACCAGTAATCCAGCTCACACTGTCCGCTCCTGGAGCCTCAAAGGGCAGAGCAGCGAGCCCCGTAACATCCCGCCAACACGGCACCCAGACCACACGGAGCATTCTCATCTGTTTATCATTACTGGTATCATTTCTGGTTGCTAACTAATGCTATTGTAACACATAATCACTGATGTTCCGCTGTAACGGTGGTGGACTCATCAGAACAGAGTGGGCGAGCTGACCAATCAGAGCACACTGGGCTGACAGGGAGGGGGGGGCAGGAGCTCCAACAAGCCGTTAAGGACAGAGAGTGAATACACATACTATACAGAGATGCTGTATGAGAAACCAATGTGAGTTTGGAACATTGAACAATGTAAATCTATTCTAGTAGACCTCAACAATGGAATTATGATCAGTAGAAATGGCCATGACATGGGACCTTTAAATATAGAAACGTCAACCCTATTCAAAGGGTTTATCTTTGGGTTTTGGTCAGAGAAAACCTGATACTAAATGACCCAACCGTTGGACTTTTAGAAACTAGGATGACGTTTTTTCACTTTCTTGAAACCGAACAATTATCGCCTGATTTAGAATATTTATCAACAGTAAAATAAATGTCGAGATGCAGCAGTAATATAACTCAGTGTTGTGGAGTCTCACCTGGTCGGACATGTTGTCCAGGCGGTACAGGTCGGGGTGCACCAGCCTCATCAGCTGCTGCAGCGGCTGCGTCTTGAACTCACACATCGCGAACACTCGCTCGTCCAGACGCGTGCACGTGCCCGTCCGCAAGGCTTTCTGAAAAACAAACACAAACAGTTTTAACATGCTTATTTCTTCCTTTTCACATTCACATTTAAAAGTTCAAAGTTAACTTTATTGTCAATCTTTCAGTTTGTGTGTACAGACAAAGAGATCGAAATACCGTTTCCCACAATCCCGAATACATAAACAAATATATATAAAAATATGTATATACCTAAAAATATGTATATACCTATATATTATATACACAATCAAAAGACACATTTATACCAGGGTTCCTGCAGGTTTCACCAACTCAAATGTAAGACTTTTTAAGACCACTTTGAATAGAATTTAAGACCTATTTCACAGCAAGAAAGTATGAAGGAAAATTGCTATGAAAGAAGATATACGTCCCATAATTACTTACAAAGTAAATTTCTTCATGTTCAACATAAGATCGATGACTGAACATAACAGCCCACAGAACTGTGTGTGTCTCTGTGTGTGTGTGTGTGTGTGTGTGTGTGTGTGTGTGTGTGTGTGTGTGTGTGTGTGTGTGTGTGTGTGTGTGTGTGTGTGTGTGTGTGTGTGTGTGTGTGTGACAAGAGCTATAGTCAGAGCTCTGCTGTCTTCATGCTGTTGTATGATTGGTATTTAGCGTCCACAGCACCTCGGCTTTAAGGGTTGACGTAGACTCAAACGTCGCCTGGAGGTCCCCCGGTGTTGTTGCGGGAGCTAACGGTGCATTAGCAAAACAAACGCTCATTTTGTTTACAAAAGGTGCAGCGGGCTTCAAACCCGTTCCCCTCCACTGGTTTCAACCAAGCACTAAATTCGACGTTTTCTAACCAAATACGGTTGAACTTAAACTTCCCCATATTTATTTGTAAGTAGATTCGAAGATACCTAATTTCTGACTGCCGCTAGCTGAAGCTTGGTTGCTAGGTTACTAGCTGGGTGTTCTTCGATAAGGGGCCGGGGGAAACAAAGTTAGTGATTACTGGTTCCATGTTGATTTATTTCAATACAAATTGTTGGGGGGAACTGAAAGGGTCTTGTTTCTTGTCTGGTTACTTTGCAGCCCGGACATTTCCCCCAAAACACATTTAGACGCGATCGCAACACAGAAGTACCTTTCAAATCCCATCATTTTTAAGACCTTCTAAATCATATTTAAGACCTTTCTTATTTTTTTGATCATATGACCTTTTTAAGGCCTTAAATTCTGATTATCAAATGTAAGACTTTTTAAGACCCCGCGGGAACCGCACAAATTAAGACATCAATAAAAGCACAACAATCAATATATACAAAATAACAGTCACTTCAATATCTGTGAGAACGTATAGTGTATGTATAAGTAACTCATACAACCGGTCATAACTACAGGCTGTGAGTTATTCAAACGTATTTGAATAAAAAGGGAAATATTAGCTTCTGAAAGGTAGTGGAGTAGATACTTGGCGCCTGTTTAGCAGCTCTCCTTTGTTTCTACTTTTCCTTGTCTTTTCTCTATGTTTTTAATCTCTAATCTGTGCGGTCCTGTTTTTCATTCTCACCCTGTTGCCGTTTCAACTACTGAATTCCCCTCAGGGATTAATAAGGTCCATCTTATATTATATATGGCATAACATGGAAAATACTAGTCCTTCAGAACAATACTTGAGTTCATGCACTTGGTTACACTACACGTCTCGCTCGTTCGTTTATCATGAAACACTTGAAATAATTAAAGGATAAATTAAAAAAGAAAGTAGAAAGAAAGTGAGGTCAAAGAAAACTAGTGATTTCAGATGTGTGTATCTCACACTGCCCCGTGACTTTTATTCATGTACCTTTTGATATTCATGTTTTATTATCTTTGCTTTTAAATGAGTGTTTTTAAATGCCATTTTATAATATGTTTCCAGCCAGTAATGAAGTGAGTGTGTGTGTGTGTGTGTGTGTGTGTGTGTGTGTGTGTGTAAAGCCAGTAATGAAGTGAGTGTGTGAGTGTGAGTGTGAGTGTGTGTGTGTGTGTGTGTATGTGTGTGTGTGTGTGTGTGTGTGTGTAAAGCCAGTAATGAAGCGAGTGTGTGTGTGTGTGTGTGTGTGTGTGTGTGTCTGTGTGTGTGTAAAGCCAGTAATGAAGCGAGTGTGTGTGTGTGTGTGTGTGTGTGTGTGTGTGTGTGTGTGTGTGTGTGTGTGTCTGTGTGTGTGTAAAGCCAGTAATGAAGCGAGTGTGTGTGTGTGTGTGTGTGTGTGTGTGTGTGTAAAGCCAGTAATGAAGCGAGTGTGTGTGTGTGTTCGTTTGTTCGTGTGTGTGTAAAGCCAGTAATGAAGCGTGTGTGTGTCTGTGTGTGTGTGTGTGTGTGTGTGTGTGTGTGTAAAGCCAGTAATGAAGCGTGTGTGTGTGTGTGTGTGTAAAGCCAGTAATGAAGCGAGTGTGTGTGTGTTCGTTTGTTCGTGTGTGTGTAAAGCCAGTAATGAAGCGTGTGTGTGTCTGTGTGTGTGTGTGTAAAGCCAGTAATGAAGCATGTGTGTGTGTGTGTAAAGCCAGTAATGAAGCGTGTGTGTGTGTGTGTGTTCGTTTGTTCGTGTGTGTGTAAAGCCAGTAATGAAGCGTGTGTCTGTGTGTGTGTGTGTGTGTGTAAAGCCAGTAATGAAGCGTGTGTGTGTGTGTGTGTTCGTTTGTTCGTGTGTGTGTAAAGCCAGTAATGAAGCGTGTGTCTGTGTGTGTGTGTGTGTGTAAAGCCAGTAATGAAGCATGTGTGTGTGTGTAAAGCCAGTAATGAAGCGAGTGTGTGTGTGTGTTCGTTTGTTCGTGTGTGTGTAAAGCCAGTAATGAAGCGAGTGTGTGTGTGTGTGTGTGTTTGTGTGTGTGTGTGTGTAAAGCCAGTAATGAAGCGAGTGTGTATGTGTGTGGGTGTGTGTGTGTGTGTGTGTGTGTGTAAAGCCAGTAATGAAGTGAGTGTGTGTGTGGGTGTGTGTGTTTGTGTGTGTATAAAGCCAGTAATGAAGCGAGTGTGTGTCTGTGTGTGTGTGTGTGTGTAAAGCCAGTAATGAAGCATGTGTGTGTGTGTGTGTGTGTGTGTGTGTGTGTGTGTGTGTGTGTGTGTGTGTGTGTGTGTGTGTGTGTGTGTGTGTGTGTGTGTTTCTGCCTGACCTGTTTGAGCAGCGCGAGGATGTAGACGGGGAAGAGGCACATGGAGGCGGGCACCACGAGGCCGGACTGCTGCAGGTTGGACACGTTGGACTTGTAGGCGCTCACCATGTCCACCACGGCGTTGGTCAGAGCGTCACGAGCGTCCGACAGGCTGGACGTTATCGCCCGGTCGATTGCTGGAGCGTGGGAAAAAACATTAGAACCAGAAGAGAAAATCCACTGCTGACAATAATACATATTAAGACATTTTTAAAAAGCTCTTTGCCGAATGATTTAACGGGCTGTAAGAAAATGTAGAAAGAAAGCGTAATTCGACAGTATGAAGTTGACTTTTGATTGTGTTTGTCAGCAACTGTGACTGAAAGAATTATTGCTTTTATTTGACTTTTTTATGGTTTTAGAAGGGGCAGGTAAAATAAGATTTTCTTCTCCCTGCTCCTTTCCACCATGCGCTATAAATAACAAAAGCATCAGAATAAAATCAAGAGTATAACGTGTATAATAAGTTATACTATGACCAAGATACTGTTCACTTAATGAGAAAAGGGAAACTAAAATAGCAAAAGTATTATTTTTGCACATGATATTGAAAACAATTATACTAAAACATATTAAAGCCGTGTTTTAAAAAAAAAAGCAGACTCACCCATGTTGGCCAGCAGGCAGGTGATGGCCTGAACATCCGCTCCAGCGTAAACCTCACTCAGCTGACTCACCACCGGCAGACACAGAGTGTGCACCCGGATCCGCCTTTTTCCTGAAGGGACAGACAGATAAATGATCAAGAGATAGTTATACTCCATTAATAGAAACAACATGACTTTCTGTCCTTCTACTATCAGTGTGTTGGAAAAAACGTAAGACACATACCCTTGAAAAGTGTTCCGTCTCTTATACAACAATATACTCTTCATTTCAATCACCAGTGTGTCTGTGTTTCTATTGTGTTATACTCTTAAAGGTCACCTATCATGCTACTTTTAGGCAATAGCTTAGGTTTCAGATATATACAAATATATAAAAAACATGTCTATGAAGTGTTTTGCTCCAAATACCAAACAGATCACCCATTCTAGCCATGCCTCATATCCCTCTATTTCACTTCCTGTTTCAAAAGTGCTGATTTTTGGTATAAAGCTTTAAAAAATTGATTAAAAAAGAGGAGGGGTCTGAGCTCATGCGGGACCCGGCAGCTACTGTCTAAACTAAATACTGCCGTGATGAAACGCCATATCATGGATTATCAAGGATTCTCTCTGAAACAGTCTGGAGTTCAAAGGCTTTCTCTCTCTCTCTCATTTCAGATATTACGTCATATCGGACGCAAATCTGGATCAGCTCCGTTGTTCCCTTTTTTTAGAGATTTGGGTACGGAGGAAAAGAGAGAGGGTTTTATTTTCTGACGCTGGGTGAGTTCCCTGACGCACCAGGGACACATGTTGATGTATAAAAGACATCAAGAAGTGCATTTTAATAGTAATAATAATAATATATCTTATTTCTATAGCGCTTTTCTTGAACCCAAAGACGCTTTACATTTGGGAGGGAGGGTAAATGGTAAATGGACTGTACTTATATAGCGCTTTATCCAGTCTTTAAGACCCCTCAAAGCGCTTTACATACTACGTGTCGTTCACCCATTCACACCCATTCATACAGAGCAGTGTATGTTACTCTAGGACCTAACATGCATACACATTCACACACCGTTGGCCATCGGGAGCAACTCAGGGTTAAGTATCTTGCCCAAGGATACATCGACATGTTGACTGCATGGGCTGGGATCGAACCCACAACCTTCTGGTTGAAAGACGACCGCACTCCCTCACAGCCACAGTCGCTGGCTGTGACTTGTTTGTAGACAAACAAAACAAAAACAAAGCCAAAAAGAAACAAAACAAAACAGAAAAGCAGTCAGGAGGAAGTTGGTTGAGAGGGGGGGGGGGGGGGCTTATGGATACAGAGTGGAAGAGGTGGGTTTTGAGGCGGGACTGGAACAGAGTGAGGGACTCAGACTCACGGAGGTCTTGGGGGAGGGAGTTCCAGAGCTTCGGGGCTGCCACAGAGAAGGCTCTGTCCCCGAAGCTCCGGAGTTTGGCCTTGGGGATGGAAAGCAAACCGGCTGAGGTGGATCTGAGGGAACGAGGGTGGTTGGTAGAGGATGAGGAGGTCATTTTGCATAATAGGTCCCCTTTAAATGCTGAGGGTTCAAGTAAAAAGATCCATAACAATATTATTGTGAACAATTGACTTCGCCCACTGATCCACACATTTTTATTTTCCATAATCCAAGTGCGTGTGTGAGTGTGTGTGTGTGTCTACATGTGTGTTTGTGTACCTTTACAGGATGTGTAGAGCAGAGCCGCCTGGAAGCAGGCCAGAGACGAGTCGGCTAGAGAGTCGTCGATGGACATCTGGACCGCGAAGGCAGAGTCGGGGTTTACGTTAGCAAGAGATAGAAGGTCGGTGGAGCGCACAAAGAAGTTACCGTGGAACGTGTGGATCGATAAACCTGAGGGAACACCAGGAATACATCCAGAGTCAAACACAATGTTTGGAGAATTTAGAGAAGATGTTAGAAAAGTCTCCCTGGTCCCCGGCTTGAGCTTCAACCTCAGGATCCATGTATCTGTGATCCTCTCCAGAATGGAAGTAGCATCACATACAGAGCATCAACTAGTTCCTGAACAGTGTCCTTCACATGCTGATATCCAAGAGAGGGAGTTACACAGTCACAAGATGGAGGAATAGAAAGCAGTCTTCAATGTTTAGTTCAGATTAGCTCCACGTCAGAAATGAGCATGCTTGATGTCTCTCTCCATAGAGGCTGAATCATCATGTTAATCACAGAGCTATCATATGCCTCAAACAGTCCTGATGCTCTTCTAGGTAATCACACATCCTGTCATGTTCACAGCTACAGTTGGGATACCTTTGTTATCACGTTACTCTCAGATTGGAAGAGAACATTCAGTATTTTCCCAACAGAAGACCACCTCTAAAGCAAAAACATACGAGCTGAATCTAAAAACAAAAAATGTGTTGCCACTACAGCAGTGTTAGCAAACCGAGCTCCTGTGTGGTTGTTACCTTTGGTGCATCGTATCCTCATGACGGCCTCGAAGCCGATCTTCCTGCTCAGGTACCGCTCCAGATCTCTCTGGAACTTCTCCAGCTGAGGCGGGTTCTGGATGTGATGGAAGGAGGGGTAGTAGAAGATGCTGCCCGCAGAATACTTGGACATACAGGCTGGATAGGAGGAGAGGGAAAATATACGTTATTATAAGAGTGATACAAAAATCACCAAAAAAAAGGTCATCAAACTTTTTCTCTCATGTTAAAAAGGAATAATATAAAATAAAATTGTCTAAAAGCTCATATACTCTGAGGAACAACCTAAAGTGGAACATTTAAAACTGACTAATCTAAGAGAGTAATTTGCTTTAAATATCAGAGTGTTCAAGTATTTTCTCGCATATTTGTGAATTTAATTTAAGACTTTTAACCGTTTTTAAGTCATTTGTGATTTTCTTTCCATACATTTTTTTATTTTAATAGAATTCATAGAATATCCATGATAAAAAAAAAAGCTTACATCCTAAATCAATAACATGTTTATTTCTGGGAGTAGTACCCCTCTCTCCTGGCTCTGTAAATATTGTTTAGTGACTAAAATGTTTAGCGTTGTAATGTTAGCTCAAAGGAATACTCCATGGTAAAACTGTCTTTTGAGTATGAGGTAAAAGAATATGAATTAAGCTTCGACAAAGAGATGCAATTATGAGGCATTACTTTTTACCAATGGGATCAACAATGAGGATATCGATGCTGCAGAAGTACCGTTTTAAAAAGACGTTTTAATGCTTTTTGTATAATAGTTCTGGGGATCCATTTGTACTGCTTTGAATTTGTGACTTAGACAGAAAGACAAGGAGTAAACCCTCCAACAGTTATTCAGTTATATTCAAGTACTTTTTAAGTGTAATAAAATGCATTTGTTGTTTATTAACTGATTCTGGTCTGCTCACAGATAATACATATGTTTATAAATGTAAGGATAAACAAACCGAGATTTAAGTGGTACATTTCAGAGAAATAAGAACTTGTATTAGACAATTTGAGTTTTCTTCTCATAAATGAGTAACTGTTAGAAAGACTTTTTTGTACAATGTGGAGTTTCTTTAATTAAATGGACAACATGAATCAATAACACTTGTTTGCTTGGTAGTACACCACTCACTTGATCTGTAGTTATTGTTTTTTTTTTACCCACAATGGCCCCTTATACATCGTTATAGTTTCTCAATATATGACAATGACAACACCAATATTGTTTTACTCTGAATAACAGTTCAGATAAGCGTCCTCTTCCCACAGCTCATGGCCATGTTGTGTTGTTCAGATGTTTAATAATTAATTCTATTTAGAGGTGCCTTTCAAACAGTGTTTCTGCCGGGGGGGGGGGGGGTTGTGTGATGTCACGTGACTTGAATTTTGAATTGAGCCGTCCCTTATAGATACTGACCGTTTCTCAGTGTCGAGTAAAGCTGCTCCAGAGCCACTATTTCAAGCATACTACGTCATCGAGTGGCGCCGAAGGACTGTTTAAATGCATACATGTGCTACCAAGCAAGCCTCCTCGACTTTGAGAAACACCCACCATCTCTTTACGTATTAGTGATGGGAATTCCTGGCTCTTTTTAGTGAGCCAGATCATTTGGCTCGGCTCACTAAGAAGGGCCGTGCTCCACTAGCCCCCCGTCAAGGATCCCACCACACTCCTTTGCCCCTCCAACAGAGGGGTGTCCTCTTCTCTCGAATTATTAATTTTTCAAATGACGACAAGACGCCCCCCTGGCGGAAACGCTGCTTTCAAAAGCACCCAAGGACACCTTACAATTCATAACATATTCTAAGGAAAGGTTTAAGACAGTTGAGGTGTTCTTACCCAGCGAGGCGAGGTCAGCGTACTGAGAGCTGAGCAGGAACAGATCCACTCCGATCTGCTGACCCGAGCAGTCCAGAGCGAACTTCTTATAGAAGTCTGTGGCCGGGCCGAGGTGCTGGACGCCCTGCAAAGAGACACACGTTACAACAAATCCTCCAGATCCACTTTCAGAGGGAGAGAGGAGAACTACTGGGCTTTAGGGAGTTCTAGGGAGCTTTTAGTCAAACTACATGGTCTACTACAGGATGGAAATCTGCACACTGGGTCAGGGTTAGGTTTTTTGTTTTTATTTACTTCCAGCTTTTCTTTTGCCCAAAATTCTGAAACAGAAGCATACGTCGGCTCTGCCTGAGAAACAAAAGCACATCTGTTTTAGTTCACCAATGCAGAAATACTTTACTAAGATAAAAACATACAGAACAGATGATCAATACATCACAATAAACGTTTCCTCGGCTTCTCCATGAATTCTCTTTGTCTAAACTGAAACGTGAGATCCAATTATGACGTCAATCCCTCGCTATAATAACAATAATACATTTTATTTATCAAGCGCTTCATCAGGTGTTCAAAGACGTTTTACAGGCGGTAAAAATAAGATAAAAAATGAAATTAAAATCAAGCAATAAAACAACATTTATCACAAACACACAGCATTAATCACACATTTAAAGCTAGTCTGAAAAGCTGATATTTAGTCAGTGTTTTGAAGGGGGGGGGTCAGTGCAGTCTCTGATGTGTTGTGGCAGTGACCCAACACGTCAGAAAACACATTAAGGGGCTCGTTCTATTCAAAAAATTAAGTTTGCTGGTAAAAATGGTAAAAGTAGACCCTATATTTAGTTTTTGTCTTTGTAATGTTTTGTTATTATTTATTTTGTCCTGTCCTGTTTTGGTTATAATTGTGGTTTGAATATTGTACGCCTTCAAGTGCAGAGCGATTATGTTTGGCTTGTCAATTGATATACAATAGTAGAGACTAAGCTGAACACTAGTAGCTTTCAACTGTTCAATCTAACCTATCAATGTACCACACAAATCACTTTACAACGTCCCCTCGTTCGTACCTTGCTGCTGGAGCGCTGGTTGGGGTCCTCTCTGGACAGCAGTGCTCCGGCCCCCAGCGTGGGCAGCTGCGTCTGAAACACCGTGATGCGGCCCCCGGTGGGCGACATCAGCTTGAAGGCAGCCTGTAGCGCCGGGCCGAGAGCGCTGTGGGTCTCTTTACTCTGACTGAACATCCCGGGGAGAGACGTCAGCAAGTCCTTCACCAGCTGGGAGGGGAGAGGGGGGGGGGGGAGGGAACAAGATTCAAAGGTTTTATTGTCATATGCACAAAGCTACAGTGTAGAAATGGCAATGAAATTCTTCTGACCTGAGCTCCTCCAACAATGCAACATATTCAAAAATACAAAATAAGAAATAGTGCAAGAAGTCTATACACATGTCAATAGAATATGATATGTACAAGAACAGAATATGAAATAATGTATATTAAGACAACATTAAATACAGTTTATTGCGGTGATAACTATTTATAGAAATAAGTAGATTGCAAGATGACAAACAGATGAATGTTTATCGGGCAGAGCTCAGGTGTTTAATAGTCTTATTGACAAGAGGGGGGGAAGAGATAAGGACGAGAGAATAATAAAGGAGTGTGATTGCACAAAGTCTGAATGTAGATATTCATGAGCACAACAAAAACTAAGTGTTCACCTCCTTGCTTTCCTTCATGTTCACCATCAGACTGTCATGAGACGGGATGAAGATGTCTGGAAACAAAGACAACACATCTGGATCAGAGCTGAAACCTTCATTTGGCATTACATTGATAGATATTTATTTATTTAAAACATTATTAAAGAGATGTAGATAGCATTATTTTAAAAAAATAAGACACCGCTGAAATAAATAAGGAGATCCGTAGCTGAGGGATAAAACCATGGACGTTTGTAACTTTCGCAATTAGTTCAAAATAGTTTGCAGATCAAAATCAAATCCATGCAATCGATTTCAGACCATGACACTCTTTATGTGAACATGCTCTAAAACACCAGGCAGTAAAATTAGTTATTTCAAATTATAAAATATAAACAATTGGGGAAAGCCTGTGTTGCAGCATACTGAGTATTACAAAATACATAATGCTTCCATAATGTTACTGTGATTTTTGATTTAATTAATTCAAAAGCTTTTAAAACCTTTTGTAATGTATTGATTGAACTGTCTCTCAGCACACACAGTTTATTCTGGACGTTGCTGCCACCTACGATAAGAGGGTTAAAAGCAGACGGAGTGCGATCTAACGCTTCGGAGAGCAGACGTACCATCGATGTCTGAAACCACCAGCATCTGCGGCATGGACAGACCCTCCTGCAGGTTGTAGAAGTGGATGGTGCTGTCGAAGGAGAGGAAGCCCACCCTGGTGCGCGTGTCTCCTGGTAACCTGAAGGAGGTACAAAGACTTTATCAGAACTGATTAAGAGAGTGTGTGAGTGTGTGAGTGTGTGAGTGAGTGAGTGAGTGAGTGAGTGAGTGAGTGAGTGTGTGAGTGAGTGAGTGAGTGTGTGAGTGAGTGAGTGAGTGTGTGAGTGAGTGAGTGAGTGTGTGAGTGAGTGAGTGTCAGACAGACATACAGACAGACAGACAGACAGACAGACAGACAGACAGACAGACAGACAGACAGACAGATATATAGATAGACAGACAGACAGACAGACAGGTTTACAATTCAAGTTTCAAGTGCTTTCCTGCCAACTCATCAAGCAGCCACATGTGTGTTTATTGTATCTTTTATCAACAGCACTCACTTATCCATGTTGTCCAGGAGAGATTCACAGAAGTACTTCAGGTATCCCGACTCCACGGCGTTGTGAGAAACATCGAGGACGAACAGGTAGGCTGCCGGCTGAGGAGGCCGCAGCTGAACACACACAACACAAACACACAATCAGTGGGGGGATAAATGTGGATCAGAGTACTTCATTTTTACCTGGAGGGAAATAGATTTTGGTAACAGTTGATCCATTTGAGAATCAAACCAAAGATACAGTCTGAAAACATTAGACAGAATGCATCTCTATTTGGAAGCTTTTAATTCAGTTAAGAGTCTCACTGTTTTACTTTCCTTGTTTAATAATTTCCCTTCTTGCCTTCAGATGTTTTACCATCAACACACGACTGCCCTCTAGTGGACAAACAACCACACGACATAAACATTCATACCTCCACAAAACAGTGGAATTAATAAGTACACTATGTTATTTTGTCATGGTGTTCAAATTATGTTCATGTTGTGTTGGTGTGGTTTGGGATTGAGGGAGAACCTATGATTGTTTAGTCGCTGAAGTAAATAAATGATTCTATCTAGTGAGTGAGACAGACAGACAGACAGACAGACAGACAGACAGACAGACAGACAGACAGACAGACAGACAGACAGACAGACAGACAGACAGACAGACAGACAGACAGACAGACAGAGAGACAGACAGACAGACAGACAGACAGACAGACAGACAGACAGACAGACAGACAGACTAAATATTTGCTATCTGCCATGCTTTGTGCCTGTGGGCCCCCTCTACAGAGAGATGGTGAATCACAAATTGTCATCTCCTATATAATTAAGGTAAATAAAAACGGGAATGACGTCTCACCATGTAGTCCGAGGAGGCGATGAACTCCACCGTAGCGTTCTGGACTTCTGGTCTCTTATGAGGCTCTCCATACGACCTGGTGACCGGGTTATACATGAACTCATCTGGAACTGAAGGAGAAAGACAAAGGACAGCAGGTTTGACAACTGCAAATATATCATTTCATTATTTACTATAATATAAAATAAAGTAAAGAGCCCATTTGGGAGCAGCTCAAGTACTCTACTAATGTTGATACTTAAGGTACATGTCTTTGATTTTAACAACATGCTTTTTCTGTGATCTTATTGAAAGGAGGATTTTTACTTTTTTTTTAATTTATTTTTTAAAATCGTACTTTAGTGAAATTCCTCAATACTTGCTTACCAACCTCCTGACGACTTCACTAGACGTCTGTAAGAACATCTAGTGAAGACTATATTGACATTATTGAATATAGAGATTGATAATGGGATAACAACAGGCCTGGACACCAGAGTAAATCACGGTGGGACTTGTACCATCGTTGACCCGGTAGCACAGGTTGCACTTCCACCGGCGCTGATCCAGGAAGGTGACGAACGGGTTGATGTAGGTCCGACAGGAGCGGCAGCGCACGATGGTGTTGGACGTGATCACCGGTAACTGCTGCAGAGAGGAGAGGACAAGAGGAGGAACATACGTTAATACTGAGGGAAAGTGAGATTGTGTCTTAAAGATCTCCCATCATGCTCAGATATACAAGGATCCTTTTTTTATTTCCTGCTTTTTTACACATACTCTCTCCAGTACAGCTTAGCTCTGCGTGTTAGCGATGCTAATGTAAACAAAGACCATATTACGTCCAAAACACGTCGCAAATTGTTTGCTGATAGCAACGTTTCTGATAGGGCCGTGGATCCACATTTCCGATATTACGTCATATCGGACGCAAATCTGGATCAGCTCCGTAGTTCCCCCGTTTTTAGAGATGTCGTTACGGAGGAAAAGAGAGAGGGTTTTGTTTTCTGACACTTGGTGAGTTCCCCGACACACCGGGGACACATCTTCATGTATAAAAGACGTACAAAAGTGCATTTTGCATGATAGGAAACCAGTTAAACCCCACGGCAAAACGCAACATCTTGCAAGAAACAGCGTCTGAGGGCTTCTTAACCTTTAATAAACTATGAATGTATCATACCCACGGGAAGAAACTCAGCTTTCAGACAATATTAACAATGTTTAGCTAAACGAAACACAAGGGTAATAACACAGGCTCTGAAGTAGCCCTGAGCGAAATAATTCTAACGCAATTAGCACAGAACTCACGGTAGAAATACCCTTATTACTTATCAAATCGGCACAAACAAGACATTGATTAACAAACTGAGATTCCACAGATTCCAGACATATAAGTATCATCACTGAGCGATCAGAACTCTCGACAGGGGAAGCGAAACCAGACATCACACCACGTAGCTTTACGGAGGAAACCCGGAGATGTTCGTACCTATGCTGTTGTTCTGATCAAAAGTTGTGTTCAATGGCATTGAAACGAGAAAAATAATCCAATCCAATGGTTAATCCAATGTGTCTGTGTCACTTTGAAATGATTACTGATAATCCATCTTCATATTTATGTCAATAACGGAGATTTCATATTAGCTCCTACGAGAGTCTATGACAGCTTCCGGTTCCGGGGCATTCTGGCTACGCATCACTCGTTCACCAATGGGTAATGTTTAGGTGGATTTTAGGAACTTCCCCTCAATTCTATTGGCTCGAACGGTTAAAAAGAGGTGTCAATCAGAATTGAACGAGGGGGGCCAGAGATATGGAAAATGCAAGTGTTTTTTTTTCTCTAAAAGGTCAAATGTCACTTGTTTTGCATCAATCTTAATACAAGGTACTTATTATATGTTATGGTTTGGATTCATAAAGCTTTTAGTCCACCATCCCATCATTCAAGGGTGGTTTTCACTATACGTCGTTTTTTTGTTTTGGATGGACACAATCATTTACATTTCTTTACTATATTCAATCTGAATTGACTTTAAAATAAAAAACATCTATATTGATTCCGACTCTTCTACATCCAACTCACAGGTTTATCATTGCTTTGAGAAAAAAGGTTATTAATTGACCCCTTTTAGAAGTGAAGTTATTGTCATTTGTTCTGGGAATGTCATTTTCGAGCCTGAGACCTGAAAAACAGGCTCAGGGTTAACAGGTTGAGGCCCCGGCCACACGAGGACGAAAACGGTCATTTGCGTTACTGTTTAGTGTCATATAGACCGTTCGGCCACACGAGGACGACCGAATACGGCACTAAACGACTGCGGAAACGATAACGGGTCCCAAGGTGGATAGAACGGCATACGCAACGCTCTGGGGGGTCAAACGGCTCGGTGTGTGCGCCCTATACGATCATTTTCTGATAATGATGAGGCAATAGCGCCGCCTCTCCCCACCTCTGCTGCTCACCCCCGCGTCAAAGTAAACTGCACACTGAATTCAGATTATTTATCTTTCTCTCGATATGGACCTAAACGCGAGTGAAGTCTAATCTGACAGGACGGAGACACCTCTCAAACTACCTAAACTAGTTATAAATATGTTTATTTTTACTGGATCAGCTGCTGCATGAGACAGACACTGGCGCTGTCAGAAGAGAGGGAGGAAAAAGAGAGGCTCCATGTATTTTATTATTATAATATATAGATTCGTTATTCATTTGTTTTAAAGCTCAATAAATAACAAAGAAGACCTTTGACCGGCACTTTTATAATTTTGTCGGAAGATTTAAACTGTAATACACGTTGACTGGCGAAAAACTCTGCCCGGTTCCCTCGGCCCCCACCGTGGAGAATAAACGGAAGGGCAACCATGACAACCATGCTTCTTCGCTGCTTCTGTGGAGGAAGTTACAGCGCCACGTACAGACTCCTGCATATGTACTGCAGCTTCTCCAGCGGTTGGAGCTAAACGGAGCGGTCTCGTGTGGACAGACACTATCCGGTGAATATTGCGTGTGGACGGAAGCTTTTTTGCGATTGGGTTTGCCTTAATCCTATGCGTTTAGCCGTTTTCGTCCTCGTGTGGCCGGGGCCTGAGTTGAACACATTTTGCGCTTCTCATCGAGTGTCAATGTTGACCTTTTCTTCCACTGAGGAGAAGAGAGGCTCTGTTCCTGTTTCCTGAGGAATGTGTTTAACAGATCATTTGAACTGTTGTCTTGTTTCCGTCTGATGTATTCATGACATTGTTCTCCACACTTCTGCTGCTCATGTAGCGGCGTCAGCGAAACATTTTCTACATTTTTCTTCCAGTCGAATAAAGGCCATTTATTCTCGAGTAAAGCTGAGCGCTGCCATGTAAAATGTACAGAAGAGCTTGAAGCTTCATTCATGCCATACATGTTCTTAACGTACAAGTTCTTAATTCATATTTGAACGTTGTTATGCATTTTCATTGTGTTTGACTCCAGGATTTCTGCACAGTAGCAGATAAAGATTAGGCTACACTCAAAAGGTAACACATGTATAATACTATTTTGTAGAATTCGTTTTTTCTGAATCCTGTAATCCAAACATTTACCCAATAACTCCAGAGTATTGTGATTGCCAAAAGTCAAAATATGTTTAAATAAAGATAAATTATGGCGTTGAGCTTTTTAAAACAACATTTTCACTGCGTTAAAAAAAAGCAGGAGATATTTTACTTTCTTTGAATTATATAAAAAGTGATTTATTAAAAAAAGACGACCTAACTAAATCGTAATAATCACTTTATTCCAATTTTCTTTTTAGGATTATGACGTCGGCTAACTTGATGACAGACATTTAAAGCTTCATTAAAAAATCTGAATGGGAGCATCAAATATAAAAAAAAAACAAAGACATCTGGTGCATCTCCAGCAAATTCACACAAAAAAACGATTTAATCCCAAAGGAGACATGGTCTCAACACGGAGGTTGTCTTGCACAGATCATACATGGGTAGTAAATAAAAAGGACATTTGTTTTGGATCTACCGCAAAGCATATTCATAGCTTATTTTGATAAATAACCAGTGGTGCCAGGATTTAGAGGTGACAAGCTGAACTCAAGAGGAGAACGAATATCTGTTTTATAATCTAAACACAAATGATATCGAGCCCAGAGAGTTGTGTAGTGTGAAATTGGCAAACAGTGTTGTGTGAAGTGAGCGTGAAACCTGCGTCCATTCATCTGTGAGCAGGAGAGACTGAACAGCTGTTAAAACTAAAAACCTCTGTTGCAGGCTGTGGGAGCTTCCAGGTTGTGACCATTTTAAGTCTTTTAAAAGTATGTGTTTTGTTATAAATGTTTACATGGACTGCCCCCCCCCCCTTAGGGAAATTCATCCACAAAAGACACACAGGACGCTGCACTAGGTCAGAAACCAGAGGAGACTGTGAGGTCCACCGCAGACGGACCACTTTTGGACAAAATGTCCTCTCCATTAAAGGCAGCTCGTTGTGGAATAGCCTCCCAACTGAGATACGGGATTGTCCCACTCTCAATAGGTTCAAAGGTCAACTCAAAGAATGGTTGAGAAACAAACAGACGTGCAATCACCGCTAAATGTTAAGTGTTCATTACTGTGCATTGTCCCTGCCAAATAAACGATTAAATGAAATAAATGGATCTGTTTAACTTGGCGAGTATAAATCGAAGCTACATCATATTTTATTCAGCGAGTGCCTTTTAAATGGAGGCAAGAATAAACTCTCACTGCTGCGGTGTTATTTTCTCACGGTGTATCCCTCTTCTCCGTCACTTCATATCTCCTGACACCACATACTCTCACCTATCTTCCTCTCCTCCTGCCTGACCCACTGTCCCCGCAGCTGCTAAAGAATACTACGTTTGACTTAATATATGGAATGTTTTCATCACCGAGTTTTCAGTTAGTGGAATACTGTAATCGACAAACTGGAGGGTTCCCTCATTTAGGGTAAACAGTATGTTGGACCGTAGTAATGACTGCTATATCCATTCCTTGCACAATGAATGTATATATAATATCCTGCTTTATATTATGTTACTGTACATTTGTATTTCCACATATATTTTTGTAATGCTATTTTATTTCTATTTGAGATGAGAACATTTTGGATTGTTTATTTCTAGTTTTTTTAATTTCTCTTATGGACAACGCCTGGTCTCTTTATGCTACTGATACGCAAACAATGGGATCAATTGCTTCTTATCTTATCTATAACTTAAATTGTCCTGAAAAACAAGAAAAAACCTGGACACAAAAAGGTTGAAGGCACGTAGAGTGCGACAGGGAGCTAGAGATGCTGCAGCATTAGACAGTATGATAGGTATAATTAGGGCGCACACACACACACACACACACACACACACACACACACACACACACACACACACACACACACACACACACACACACACACACACACACACCACACACACACACACACACACACACACACACACACACACACACACACACACACACACACACACACACACACACACACACACACACACACACACACACACACACACACACACACACACACACACACACACACACACACACACACACACACACACACACACACACACACACACACACACACACACACACACACACACACACACACACACACACACACACACACACACACACACACACACACACACACACACACACACACACACACACACACACACACACACACACACACACACACACACACACACACACACACACCTGTCAACTGAGCGGTCCTAGCGCCCTTCGCATACAGCACACAAACACGCAGCCAAACACACTGCATTGCGCGCAAACAGAAAAATATATTTTTTTCCCCCCCTTTACACGGGAGTCCGGGACAAACAAAGTCCCGTACGGGACACGCCCCTTTTGGCTCAAATACGGTTGGCAACCCTAGGTATAATGTGTTTTATGAACATTTGTGTGTAAACAGCGTGTAGTAGACCCTTAGAAATCAAAATATGAACCTGAAATGTAGCTGACCTTTAGAGCAAAGTGAAAACCTAGCTCGGTTATCCATAACACTTTAGCTGAGTTAACTACACAGTGAAGGGCACATGTATATATTAGTACATGGGACTCCACAGTCACGTCTGATCTGCCAACACTCTCACGTCATTCAAAAAAGCCCTCAAAACTCACCTTTTGCCTTCAACTCATTATCTCCCCTCGCCCCTACTCCACCAGGCTCAGCACTTTTTTACTTTCGTTGTTATGTTTCTTTATTGGCTTGTAAAACGCTTTGAGCACCAGGAAAAGCGCTATATAATGAACATGTATTATTAAAGAAGGGTTGTGTCTAGATGTTCCAGTGTACATTTGGGAGTTTTAGGCACCTGCAAAATACTGTATTAGTACATGAGACACAGAAGGTATGTGTCTAGATATTCCAGAGTACATCAAGTTTGTGGGAGTTGTATACATATGAGACATCAGATCTTACCTGCAGGTCTCTGAAGGGGTGCAGCAGGAGACCCAGAGGGAGGCGCGCCTTGTTGAGCAGAGCCTGAGTCTGAGGGATGCTGGACAGGGTGCTCCTGAACGTACTGGTGAACGACGAGAGAAAATGTTTTAGATTGCACGCACGTATACAAATGTATTTCTTACTTTATTGTTTCTTATAATTTTCTAATTATGATTTGTTAACTTTTGAGGGTTAGGGTTAATTAATCCAATGTATATAAATCACAATATGGACTGGCACCATATCCAAATTGCCTTCAGCGCAGTATTCTGGAGGCAAAATATGTGAAAATATCTGAATAAAGTATTGTGGAGCTGCAGAAAAAGTCTCGGCCTACCAATGGTATTCTACTGACTGAAAAGAAAAATCCTTATTTACTACAGAACTCTAAAAAATAAATAAATAAATATTTAGCAATTATAACTTTGGCCATATTGTGCTGCCCTAGTTATAACTCACTTTTACATCTTTCTATATTTATTATAAGATCCCACTAGCTTCGGTGCAGACGGAGCCGCTGGAATACAGGATCTACCGCGTTTAGGAACCGTTAAGCAGAACCGAAATTGTGTATTTTGTATGGGTACCCGGTACCCAGGATTTTCTTATCGGTTCTCATCTGGAACTGAGTTTCGGTTCCCAACCCTAGGGGGGGCACAGGCTCAAACCCCACTGCAGTCAGCATGTCGTTGTGTCCCTGAGAGACTTCACCCCAAATTGCTCCTGAGGGGATTGCCCACAGTATTGAGGATGTAGGTCGCTTTGGATAAAAGCGACTTACACAGGGGGTTCAAACTCAATTTCATTATGGCATTAGCATTATGGTTGCACTCAAAGGGCTGGTTGTAACTGTAAGACTATATAAAAATATATATAAAAATATTTTATATATATAAAATAATGTATTATATTACATTATTGCCTCTGCATTGGATTATTATGGGATAGGGTAATAACTTCATCATTAACTACGTCTGAAAGCAGAAGTCTAGGGCAAATAATTGCAAGTCTCTTCAGTGAGAATGTCACAAAATGATTTTAAAAGAAAAGCCAAATTACATTTTTTGAAAAAAAGTTACATTTTGAAAAAAAAGTCAAATTCTGAGAAAAAAGTCAAATGAGAGATGCATTGTGGGACATGTAGTTTATGGGCAACGTGCTTCTGTAAATCGGCATGTAATCGTATAATAAACATATTATATTCTTTCAGAGCTCTTGCGGGGCCACAGAAAATAAAGTCGCGGGCCGGATTTGGCCCCCGGGCCTTGAGTTTGACACCCCTGGTCTAACAAGTAACATGTAATGTAATGCATATGTGACCTGCTCTATCGAAATCAGTCGCATTGACCCGAAGACACATTTTGAGTTGTATACACTGCTGGAAAGAGGATATTCCTAGCTTTCTAATGATATCAGGATTGTTGTTGTACTCCGAATATTAATCGAAATAGGTCACATTATATAATGACTGTCACCGAGTCCTCATTTTGAGAAAAAGGCCTTCAAAGTTTTCTCTTCTCTGGAATCCATCGATCTGATTGATTATTAGCAAATGATCAAAATACTACGGAGGAAAGATATTTTCGTTTGGAGTGGAAGCTCGCGAGTGTCCATCCATCCATCCATCTTCTTCCGCTTATCCGTGGTCGGGTCGCGGGGGTATCAGTTCCAGCAGAGAGCCCCAAACTTTCTTTTCCCTGGCGACATCAACCAGCTCTGACTGGGGGATCCCAAGGCGCTCCCAGGCCAGCGAAGAGATATAACCCCTCCACCTGGTCCTAGGTCTACCCCTTGGTCTCTTCCCAGCTGGACGTGCCTGGAACACCTCCCTAGGGAGGCGCCCAGGTGGCATCCTAACTAGGTGCCCGAACCACCTCAACTGGCTCCTTTCGACGCGAAGGAGGAGCGGCTCAACTCCGAGTCCCTCCCTGATGACCGAACTTCTCACCTTATCCCTAAGGGAGACACCAGCCACCCTGCGGAGAAAACCCATCTCGGCCGCTTGTATCCGCGATCTCGTTCTTTCGGTCATGACCCATCCTTCATGACCATAGGTGAGGGTAGGAACGAAAATGGCCCGGTAGACAGAGAGCTTTGCCTTCTGGCTCGCGAGTGTGTGTGTATAATTTTACGTTTGTGTGTATTGTGTTTGTTTCCCGGGGAAAACCCCCACGAGAAACACCGGCTGTTGTTACGCCTGCTGTGACGTCAAGTTACTCCGTTCTCCGCTTGTAATTATGCCGTTAAAAGCTTCAAAGTTGTATTTATCATCTGAATTTGCCGAAACAAGTTTAATATTCTGAAAGCCAAGACTTTGTTTAATTGAAATCAGATGAAAACAAACTGTAACGGACCCTGCCGTGTTATTTATGATTACTCCCCCCGGAGGGAGGGGTGCGGCGCTGCGGAAGAGCAGATTGCGAGTGAGAGGTGCCTGTCTTCGTCCCTTTACGAGCTTCAAACATGTATTTATCGTGTGATTTTGGAAATAAAAGTTTCATATTCTGAAAGCCAAGACTTTGTTTGTTTAAAATCAAACAAAACACCCGAACCCCGAAAAAATAGTTTTTTACGTAAATCCACGTTTATTTTGAAATGAGCCGTTGCGACTTCCGACTGATTTCGATAGAGCGGGTCACATATGTATAAATGTGTCTTTTGATTGTGTGTATATATAGGATTGGATATACACATTTGCAAACATATTTTTATATATATATTTGTATTCAGGATTGTGGGAAACGGTATTTCGATCTCTTTGTCTGTACACACAAACTGAAAGATTGACAATAAAGTTGACTTGACTGTACTCACTGTGGGTTACAGTTGACCTTCTTGAGGTCGGCGCTGAGGTTGGGCTCGGGGGCCTCGAGGGGTCGTGGGGGCAGCAGGCTGGTCTCCTGCATCAGGTTCACAGGACTCAGGGCCTCCAGCTCCAGTTCTGGGACCCCACTGAGCCCCCCCAGAGCTGCTGACAGCTGGGTCAGGTTAGGGAATGGCTGCAGGGGGGGACGACAGAAATACAGTTTAACTTCGGTTGAAAATCAGCACTGTTGTGTTAATACAGCGAGAGAAAGACCAGTGATGTTGAGACAAAGTTACTGTTCAAACGTCATCAAATCAACTTGAAAAAGGTCTGTGCTTTAATGCTGCAGCAGTTTTAATATGTATATGTTAATGCTGCATATATGAGTTCTGATTTTACAATTGTAATTACGTGTGTTTTATATTCTATACATGTTTCTATGCTCATTCAATGTCGTATTTTCCTTGATGTAACTATGAATATTTATAATAATATTACAGGACGTTGCAAAGGGGCTGCAACCAAGCTAAAGTTGTCAGCTACTGGCAGGTAACCAAAATGCTGATTTAAGAGGTTACTTTGAATAAAATGATAAACTACATCTCTCGTTAACATTAATGAACAACAACTATATATACATATCATATATCTAGCTGTTTTACACGTTTTAGTGGGAATAAGTCACATATTATACCTTTAAACAAAACTTAAGATGTGCTTGCAAATCAAAAATATAGCTTTTTAACTTTGATAATAGTAAATCATCTCATTAACAATAACACACACTCTCAGCACCTTCTTTATTAAAGCTGTGATCTCACCTGGGAGTACTGCTGGTATTCTGGCTGTCCGTACGGGTCAAGAGAGGGGGCGGAGTCAGTGGCGGGGGCTGGCCCCTGCTGATAGGCCGGCTGCATGTTTGGGTAACCATAGTGATCGTAGGGCGCAACCTGATTGGTCATATCGTTGGAGGGCGGCATGGAATCTGAGCAGGAGAGAGTTCAGCGTTAAAGACAAACTGATGCATGTTTTTAACTGATTCAACCAGGGCATTTTGGAAGTGTGTGCGTGTGTGTGTGTGTGTGTGCGTGTGTGCGTGTGTACATTTTTTATCACAGGCTTTTATATAAATGGAGAAAAATCACATTTTCTTCTATAATTTATTGTATAATTGTTTATTTTCTACTTTTTTTAATTTCTAATTATGAGCAATACTTTATTGTACATGCTGCCGCGACAAAAACATTTCCCATTTTGGGATTAATTGGGAAATTAAAGTATATCTTGTATATCTTACTTTTCAGCACAGAATAAAATCCCCTCTCCTATCTCTTCTTGTTAAAGTTGCTCCAACATGGTTTCATTATTAAGCTGAAAAATATGTTTTCATTTGGCAACATATACGTTTGTTTGGTGCACATTCTTTATTTCTGTCCCCATTTCTGTCAACGTATTAATAACCTCTACACTTTTTCTCCAATAAAACTTGATTAAACCTACCTGACGTCATGGCAGCGTTACCTACAGTTGGAGATCACTCAAGAAGAACTTAAAGGGGCCCTATTATGCTTTTGGGGGGTTTACCTTTCCCGTAGTGTGTTGTAAAGGTTTTTGTGCATAACACTGTAAATCAGGGGTGTCAAACTCAAGGCCCGGGGGCAAATCCGGCCCGCGACCTAATTTGATGTGGCCCGCAAGAGCTTGCAAAGAACATAATATAATACAATTGGTGTAATTGTTGAATATTTACTTTCAATTATTTACCCTAGATTTCTGCTTTCAGACGTAGTTATCTAGGAAGATATTACCAGAACTGATAATAATCCAATGCAGGGCCAACAATGTAATAGAATACATTATTTCATATATATTATAGATTTACATATGTATTACATATGTATATATAATTAAAATTACAACCGGCCCTTTGAGTGCAACCATAATGCTGATGTGGCCCGGGATGAAATTGAGTTTGACACCCCTGCTGTAAATCATCTTAAAGTGAAATCACCTGGTAAGAAGTTTTGTAATGTGATAAATCAGTGAGTATGGCTTGTATTTAGATGAACAGTGTGTTTGTGATCAATACAAACCTGGATAGCTGCCACCTTCCAGGGAATCATAGCTGTTGGGCACCGGAGAGGCACTGCCTGTACTGGAGGAGGAAGTGTCTCCACCTGAGAGAGGCAGACAGATAACACATTCAAATACAAAAGCAAAGAATGGCCGAGAGGAGTGGAGGAGTAAGTGATTACATTAATAAAGTTAAAGAAGGACCCATGGGGATTGCACAACAGAACAAAGCACAATTGAAGAAGTACAACACAAGAGGGGAATGTCTGTGAGAATCAAAAGCACCACAACTGTAAATAAAGTCCATTAACACAAATGAGGGAAAGACAAGAAATAATGAATGAGGAGGAGGGAAAGAACAAAAGAGGAATCATTAAAGGGAATGAAGTGGGTTTTTTCTGTTTGGCCATGAAGAGCTCTGTGTTTGGACTCCCCTCAGGCCTCAGAGAAATACAGAAAGAAAAACAAGACACAAAGATGCACTTAAGTCACTTAAGACCAGCGAGCGCACAAGCTTCTGAGGATAGAAACATGGAGTGTGCAGAAAATAAATTACAAAGATAATGTGAGGCTACAGAACGGCGTTACTGCCAACTCTGTGTGTGTCTCCACAACTCTTTCATTCTGCACTCTCTGAAACAGTCCTTCATTTAGACCCCATTTACACGCAAACAAACCGAATACGATATCAAAAAAGTCTTCCGTTCACACGAGACCGCTGGAGACGCTGCAGTACATATGCCGGGCCTGTAAGTGGCGCTGTACTTTCGCCACAAAATACACCAAAAGCAGCGAAGAAGACCCCAAACATGGTTGCCATGGTTGCCCTTCTGTTTATGCACCGCGGTGGATTTAGCAACATGTAGTTCTCCATGTCCACTTATTGCTGATGGTTGTGGTAGAGGAGCTGTAGATTGTGCACTAACATCTGTAGCATGGTCAGTAGCTACTGACAGTAGCTACTGACCATGCTACAGCAGTGAGCAGCAGAGGTGGGGAGAGGCGGGGCTATGGCTTCATCGTTATCAGGAAATGATCGTATCGGACGTACACACGGAGCCGTTTGGCCCCCCAGAGCGTTCCGGTTACAGATCTATCCACCTTGGGACCCGTTATCGTTTGCGGGGTCCGTTTCCGCGTGTCCAATGCGGCCTCGTGTGAACGAACGGACTATACGAAAGAGAAAAGTAGCGGATACAACCGTTTGCGTTCTCGTGTAAACAGCACCTTAAACTCTCTCCTCTTTCACACACACACTTTTTTACCTCCTATGGTGTGTGAAACATGCACGACTTAAAGATGATGAACAGAATGCAGGTCCTATTAAACTAATAATACATTGACTTTGTTTAATGAGAAGGTACATGCATTTGCAAGGCCTTGAAGACACACCCAATGCATATTAGTACATCAAATAAAAGATAGTTTAAGACACGACACATAAAGGGGCAAAGAAGCGATAAACCTATCAGACAACAAGGGCCTTTATAAAAAAAACAGACTCGCAAAAGATTCCTGCTTCTGAAATTTGAATATCTTCTGTTTTTCTAATTCCTAGTTAACTAAATACCTTTGAGAGTTTGTCAAATAGGGCATTTCAGCAGGTCTTCTTGGATTTTTAGAAACACATGTTTTCATTATTTTCTGACATTTTAAAGAACAAATGTATGGAGTTGTTAGTTGCGGACATATTTAAATCTAAAGAAATTCAACAGGTCTTGTAGACGGGGCATCACGTTGGACAATGCAACCAACCTTCCACACTCTGTCTGATTCTCATCTTCCCCTGATCAAATAGACAAAACTACTCTTATTTGTAAAGCCTGATAGATACATCGCAGTATAATCTGTTGCAGCCACTCATGTTATCCTAATAACGCGCTGAGGTTTTCCAGAAAGATTAAAAGGGTAGAATATCTGAATGAACTCATGAATGCATGCTGGCCAAGAGGAGGGATCAACAAGACACGACAGACCTCTGGCAGCGAGCTCATTGGACGGGAGGGGATCCAATTATCTGGGACTAAATCTGACCAGGAGATTATCTGCTCTGGAGAAGGAGAAAGCTTAGCCTTCCTCCTCCTCCTCCTCCTCCTCGTAGATTTGACTGACACCTCTTCCTCCTCACCTCTGTCAGCTCACAGTCTAACTAATAAAAGGGATTCTAGCCAGGGGTTATAGTAAAACAATCTATTTATAGTAAATGTTGCCTTGAAGCAGTTTTCCATTTCCCTTTTCATCTAATCCTCATCTGTTTTCTGTAGTATGTTTAGCTCACACTTGTTGCTGATCATTGAAGCTCCATTCATACTGTAGTGTCTCTTTTTTAAAATGGTTTACAACTGATCTGATTATCTACTATGAGTTTGGATGTGAGAAAAAGATGCATTTAGCATATGTGTGGGCTGGACCAGTATTTTACAGGAAAGGAGTGAGCAGAGGGTCGAGTTGTCGATTCTTGTTCTGTGACTATCTTCCTCACCCTCTCAGACTTTCAGTTGCGCGCTACTAAAGAGACGCGCTACCATGGAAACCAAACAATGGTGTAGCTGTATTAAAGTCCGAGTGGAAACAGTCGTGAGTAAATCTGATTTTGTCAGAAATCGGGAGAAATATGACCCCGGGAGGAAACCGGGAGAGGGCAATGAAATCGGGAGTCTCCCGCAAAAATCGGGAGGGTTGGCAAGTGTGGTTACAGTATGTGTGACGAGTGGCAGAGTGACATAGAAACAGACACGATGTGAGAAAGAAAGTCCTTTGCATGTGACTGCTTTACAAAACAAATATTTGAGCAGCACTCATTTGATAGTTTCAGTTTCTCCAACTGTAAGGACCCCTCGGTTTGTCTGTTTCATTTACTTAATTGAACTTACTTTTTACTTACTTGAAATGCTCGTTGATACTATGGCCACTTGTAAATGTCTATAACTATGTAAATGTATCCTGTAAATATAATGTATAATGTCCTTTATTGTTTTATGTTTCATGTGGAACCTATATGCTGCAGGTCTCCCTTGAAAAAGAGATCTATGATCTCAATGGGACCAATCTGGTTAAATAAAGGTTTGAAATGAAATGACTTAATTAAACTTGTTTTTTTTTGCGTTTTAGACAGCTGGTAGATGTTGTGCTTTAAAGTGCTCATGGTGGTAAAAAAACATATCATGGCGTCTAGAAATCAACAACTGGTGTTTTGTTTCAGCATAAAAGCTAAGCGAGACCGTGGGGAATTGACGAGATCCCGAGGGGGGAATCTGAAACAGGCTTTTTTGCTAAGAGAGTAAATGACTGTGCAGCGAGTCTCTCATGGGGAGCAGCGGAGTCAGAACACAGGGGCTATATTTAAGAACCTGTTAACCTCTGGATGATGACACAGATCCAGAGCGAGAGAGAGGAACACCTGAGAGCTGCACACAGGAGCAGGAGACCACTGGAGCTCAGAGCAGTATTAAGAGGTCCACTGACTTCAAATAACATACTTCCCTCCCCCACAGGAAACTGGAATTATGAGCTATGATAAAGAGAGGTTTAAGAACAGTCTGATTGTGGGCATGCTAATGGTATTGTAATTTAAAGCAATGTTAATTCAAAATACCGGTGTTACATAAAGAAAATGTAACTCATTGCTTACACATACTATAGATGCATTTCCTTTTAGACAAATAACGTACATTATTTTACTCTAAATTGTATATTTGTTCTTCTCGTTTTCTTTTTAAAGATTTTTAAGTAAAATAATTGTTTTGTCAGTTTTGCTATCGTTTTATTTCATTACTATTGTTTATTTGTATTGTCTTTTTTACTTAATATTTATTATCATTAGTACTATAGAATAGAATGGGAGGGATGAAACCCTCTTTAATGGTCTCACACGCAGAGCACACAGCACACACAGTGACATGTGTTCTCTGCTTTTAACCCACCCTAGCACCAGGAGTCTAGCACTAGGAGCAGTGGGCAGCTATTGCACAGCGCCCAGGGAGCAATGGGAGTGGGGCGGGTGTCCGGTGCCTTGCTCAAGGGCACCACGGCAGAGCAGGAGGTGAACTGGGACCTGTCCAAGTAGCAGTCCACACTCCATACTTTAGGTCTGGTTGGGAACTTGAACCGGCGACCCTACAGCTCCCAGTCCAAGCCCCTACTGACTGATCCACTGCCTATCTCTCCACCTCTCCATGTATAGAGGTTTTTACCCGTCCAAAGATGGGCATGGAAACTTGAAAACTGAATTCTGATGCCCTTACAACACCAATGGACAAAACTAACTAATGTTTATTTTCCATTCATTATTTTGCCATTCATTTATTCAGGTGAGTGAAACGCTCTAATAAAAATAAGTAATTAGTTTGTCAAATTTCCCAAAATAGAGAAAAATGCTTCCTGAATTTTTGAAGATCCCAAACAATGCAGGTTTTTCCCCAAAAAACAACAACACAGCAATATTAAATTGTTAATATATAGAAAAGGGAAAACATCGTCCCATTTTAGAAGCTATAAACCAGGTGTTTTGTTCTACATTAAAGGTGGGGTAGGTAAGAAAGGAGAAACCAGCTCGAGTGCGCTAGAATCTGAAAGTACACAGCCGAAAAAAATCTACCCCTTCCTTCAGACTTCCTCACAGAGCCCCTCCTCCAACACACACGAACGCGCACATGACCAATGAGGGCACGAGATAAGTTTGTACACAGATGGAAAGCTGACAGGCAGGTAGGCCATCCAGTTACTTTAGCCGGGCCAGATGATTGGTCGTGCTTTTTACAGCGCCACGGCTTCCACATATTACATTTTGTTATGGATTTATTGTCAAAGCATTTAATGTATTCATTGCTATCGGGATGTTAAGAACATTCCATGGAATATAACAAGTGTTTCTGAAGTGAATGACCTCCCCCACCTTTAATGACTTAAACTATGTATTACGGTTGTTGTTGATTAATTCCTTGCTTTAGCACGAAACACTTACATTTGAAAACACTTAAATGTGAGTCCCAATTAGACAACACCATCCAACACCGACTAATTTTTAAGGCCACCAGGTTCAGAGCACAGCTCATTGATTTAGTTTTGCATCAGAAACCACAGCGAGACGTCTGAGGCTCGCAGGCGGATAATCACATCCAGAAACCACTGAGTGAGAGAGGGCACTGCGTGACAATAAGGGCACGCAGAACCTGGCAGGAGCTTATTAAGATAAACCGAAATGCTAAACCACTTACCACTTGCATTACTGAGAAAAAACACGTTACATCAGTTACAGCGATGCAGCAACAGAGCAGGGTACACACATTAGAACAGAGGATTTGTGGTCAATACTGATGACTGTGAAAGGGAGACATGGTGAGCATTGGGAACAATCTAATCAGCCAATTAGGAAAGCAGAGGGATGGATGATGAGCAGAAGTGACACACAAGAGGAGAGCAGCGATCAAAAGGTGACTTTACATGGGGAAGGTGATAGAATGGTTAAAATGGTGGTTTTTAATATAATACAAAACATCTAGGAGCACGGTGAGGATTATGGGGATGGAGAGAGTGCTAATGAATGGGTTGTGGGGGAGGTAAAAGCTAGAGCAGACCTGCTTCCTCATCCTCCTCCTCCTCATCATCATCATCATCCTCAGAGCTGGATGACGAGGGGGCAGCGGCGGGGCCTGAGGTGGTGGCAGAGGCAGAGCTAGCTCCACTATTAGCAACATATCCATACTGCACGCCTGTGGGGGGGGGGGGGGGAGAGGTACATGAGAAAACTGTCAAGACTGCAGAGAGGGAGATGGAGATTAGGCAGTGAACTCAATGTCATGTGACGTAAGAAGTAGTGAGGGACAGTTTCCTCCCACAGACTATAAGACTGTGAAACACCTGAACTGTTGAAAGAACATCCATAACATCTGTTTGCAACTTATATACATCAATATTCCAATTACTTGCATGTACTATTCGGCACTATTTCTATTATATTTTATTTACTTACACTATTATCTGTGTTATTGTGTTGCACTGTTGGAGGAACCCTTGACCTAAGATTGTCATAACTACACTGTAGCTATGCACACGTGATAATAAAAGCCTTGAATCGTCAAACCTTGAAAGTGTGTCTAAGCGTGTGTTGAAGAAATGGCTTCTCCGTCTACCAAGAGAAATTACCTTTAATACCAAATCTGGTTATATTTGCTTTCATGGATGAAAAGTTCAAGACCCTTGAGAAAGATATTGAGAGTTTTCTGGGGATAACATTAGGTTAAACTTCTTTCGCATCAAGCTAGGTTGCTTAGCATTAAAAGGACAGTTCTATTGATTTAGAAATGTGAGGTACTTATCCCAGTAGATGGCAGTCTGCACATCCCCAATTTAGCAATGACAGCACAGAAGCTGCAAAGCCTCAGGGCTTCTTCGACAAAAACAGAGTCGCAGTTATGAGATATCTTTCATTTTCAAAGTAACATTTCTGATTCTGTCAAAGGAATTTTTAAAAGAGAGCTCAGTGGCTTCAGTTTCCTCACAGAAAGGGCTCTCTGGCAGCGAGGTAAGGCCGAGAGAATATTCTAAATGACATTAGCTATCTTACTTTTAAACAAATTTCGTTTTTGCCAAATTACGATTGGCTGCTGCCTCTGTCCAGAGCGCTGTTGCTTTACCACACCTGTCTCTTCCCCAACTTGGAGCAAGCTGCCCATCATCTACTGTAAAACACTGAGTATGGATAAGTACCTCATAATACCTCATTTCAAAACATCCAAACTATCCAGCAGTAACATTTCAGAGGCCACGCGAGAAGTTGCATCTACACCAAGCGTTTCTTTCCCCACAGCCTTGCTCATTTTAAAACATTACTGAAACCGAATGAATCACGATCACTGCATACATTATGTTACTGTTGTGTTTACCCAGCGAAAAATAATCACAAAATGAGATTAAACATGAATTAAGCACTTTAAAAACGTGTCACAACAGTGCGTGCTTTTAATACAAAGAGGTGTGTCTGGTGTGTGTCCTATAATCCACTTGCTATATAACATGTCGTCTGAAGCCAATATCTCTGGGGCTGAAGAAACTGATTTAGCACACGTTTACCGATGGTGGAAGATTATTTATTTAGCAATACTGGTTGTAGAAATACTTACAAGTTAAATTAGTCAAATGTAAAAGTATCATCGTCAAAATATACTCCGAACGTAGGGTAGAGAAAAGGTACACTATGTCTATTGGTTCCCATATTGGAAGTGGAATGAAAATACTCACTTAAAGTACAACCACTTCAAGATGTGAGTAAATGTACTTCATTACACCCCCCCACTGCATTTTACCGGCCTCAGAGAATACACAATCTTGAGAAATGTTGTCGTAATGATGCCAGAAACACTTCTTCATTCATGCTGAGACTATGCAAAGCTTTAAGGTCCATTGGTTTCCTTTAGCTTAGCTGACAGTGAAAAAGATCCCAGGTCACGAACTGAATAAACAAGCAGCTGGCTGGTGCTCGTCAAACTGAAACCCTCACATTTGTATAAAGTACTCACACCTGCACGTTTGAGAGTGTGCCTGGAAGTGTGTGTGCTGCAGCTGTGAACGCCACACACACACACACACACACACACACAATTTAGAGCAGGTTTTCAAACACTCAGACTGAACGTCTAAACATGGGATTGTGGAAGTCGTTGCACCAGAAAAGACAAAAAGCAGGAGCCAAGAGATGTTTTGTTTTTTTCTCCCATCATGTTCAAACACTGCTATGAGGTTTTCTTGCAAGCAGTGAAACAAACGAAGAGGAAATATGTAAGAAGGCCTCAACATTTGAACAAGAAGAAAACGTGTCTTTATTGTCACGGCAGAGTTAAGTGTTCAAATTCATTTGTATACATATTTATTCTTTAGGTTTGAATATTTCATTGTAGTTATTCATTTTGTATTATGTCTTCCTTTATTGAACTAAGAGGGTTATCTATCATGACCTTTGGATCATTATTTATTTTATTGTACTTATTTAAATCGTATCTTTTGAGCTCCTTGTGTCCGTTGAATTGTTATATTATGCTTTTATGCTGCATGTAAAAAGGTTTTAACTGAAGAGAATTTGTTGTTTTCTGTCTTAATTTGTGACCATGTTGTTATACAAATAAAGCTTTATAATTAGAATTCAAAACAAGCCTTGAAAATGCATTATAGATTGTTTTAAGGTCCAAGGAAGGAAGGAAATGCCTTGAAGTTTCCCTGGTATTTCTGTCTACTTGGAATAGTTTTGTCTTTCTATATTCAAAGCTTGGATTTAACACATCTCCAACTCACATTCTGTCTGGAAACCAGTCATACAGACACACGAGGAGGCCCTTTGCTTACATTCCTCACTTTCAACAACTTTATTTGACAAGCTGCTGTTAGTTGATCAGTTCCAGCTGCATTGAAGAGGGGTAACAATGCGGATTCATGTTTTTGAATCACGTGTGTGTGAAAAATAAGTTAACGGTTACCTTGGTGGTGGCCCGGTGAGGAATGCACTGAAGTTGGTTGAGTTCCTGAGGGCCGAGGGTCAGCGCCGCTGTGAACGACCCCGCTGTACGTGTCGTAGCTCAGAGACGCCTGGTGGCTCTGGTCATAGTGTTGGTGCACTGGGAAAGAAAACACAAAGACGATAAGGGAAAACACTTCATACCAAAGAATGGAGCTCTGCATGAACACAACTCTGAATAAAGACTGACACTGAAGAAACACAAGAGATACAAACAGCATTAAACTAGAAACAGTTGTCAATCAAATGACACAATAGTTGACCCCATTTCAGCCATGCATTATTAATGTATAGGACTCTTTTTGTTTAAGTGGACCCTTCTGTTCTGTAGCCAATATGAAAGCTATATATAGCTTCACACACAACTGGAAAGACACGGTGTTGATTTCAAAATCACCCAAGAGTTGGCAGAAAGTATTTGACCCATAACAACAAATGACCATATGTATATCAATTACTCATATAACCTTGTTTCCATGAAGAAAACATCATTTTTACTCGCAAGCCTCCACAGAAAAGCTGCCTGGGGTTGTGTGAAAGTTAGTACATCGAGAATTGTCTCGTCTTTAATTATTTATTTCCCATGCAAGTATGCACACAAACTTGTTTACGTTTTCACCATGAACTCAAGGTAACATGGATAACTGATATACCACTAATCATTTTTGGGTGTACAATATTTTTGTATAAGCGACACATGGAGCTGGAAAGAAATCACTAAACTATATGACTGATACTAATACTGCTTTTAAAGCCAGATTAGGTCCGATTCAGCTAGTGTGCATGTTTCTGCAACACCAAATGCATATAGTGCTCTAGATTAAGACGACACTTTTAATGGATGTCTCTTTCCAGCCAGCATCTGATCCTTCAAGCGTTAACTAACCCTTCACACATACCTGTGCTTCCTTGACCATTGACTGTCGGCATCTGCTGATTAAGAGGAGCCGCGCTGTACCCAGACTGCACTGCTGTCGTTGTGGCCGGCGGAGGGCTGTTGTACTGATGCAGCGGTGCACCCATGTGGGTCGGCATGACTCCAAGGCTGGAGGTGCTCTGGGAGGAACTCAGGGTGCCGTACTGGCTAATTCCAGGCGCAGACGGATAGGAAACAATTGGGTAGAGGGGAGCTCCAGGGGCGCCAGGCGGTGCAGGCACCAAACTGGGGTGCTGCTGCTGCTGAAAGGGCTGTGCTGCTGCTGGGGGAGCATGGTATGCCTGCTGTGTATAGTAGGATCCTGGAGTGGCATATGGAGGATGCTGCTGCTGATGCTGCTGCTGGAATGATTGTTGGTTGTAGTGGGCATTTGATGGCGGCGGTGCTGAAGGTGGATATGGCTGAGAAGGAGGTGCAGAGTTCAGGGGAGCACTGTATGAGGAGGGTGCTACATGGTGCTGAGAGAGGTGCTGCTGATGGTTGCTCTGGTAGTAGTTAGCACTGTGGGCACTGTTCATGAGGGGGGCTTTGGTGGGAGGGGTGGACTGGGCAGGGATGGTGGGGTAGCTCTGTTGTTGAGGTGGGGCTCCATAGCAGCCAGCAGGAGGATGCATGGATTGGTACGTCTGTGCTGGACCTGGATAGAGAGAAAGTGCATTTACAAACAGAGTCAAACACATATTCTACTTCCACCAAAGCTCACAAATAGAGTACTGAACAGAGGGTGTCATTAGCTGCAAACAACAAGCCTCATCAGCAGCTGGTGCTTCAGCTGTAAGGGTTAATACCCGGTCAACTGAATATGCATCCCATCAATAACCACTACATTATATCAGTACACATCTAACCAACTCATATTGTCAAACATGTCATATAAAGTGAGTATTGTATTGAGATGCTGCGCATTCTGTCACACCATTATAATCCTGCTTTGATAGCTATCGTTAGCTTAAAGCTAATGTTAGCCGCTAGCTATCTCTATGGGATACAGGTTAAGTTAGCACCTCAATAGCTTAAGCTCATATTCATTTTTCGCAGAGTTAGAAGAATGATATACATGTCGCTTTTATTTTTAAATGTATGTAACTGGTTTAGGTAATGCCATGGGACAGTCATACAAAATAAAGAAATAAAGAAATAAAGAAACAGGGTGCTGACACACTAACTGACATCCCCCCAGAGTGTTAGCATGCTAAGGCTAGCGAGCAGGCTAATCGCATCATCCCGGCCTCCGTTACCGTTCTGATGGGAAGGTGCCGATCCGCCGTTCAGCGTCGAATTCCGGCTGTAGTTGACGGTGTAACCCGGCGAAGACATCGCTCGGTCCTCCCGTCCTTATTCCCACAGGTCTGGGTAAATGCACATTAGCCTGTCTCCACTTCACCTCCCAGAAATGCTGCAGAGAGAGAGGTGTCTGCTGGTCAGTGAAGACCCGGGCAGCAGGCAGGTCCTCTCGGCTGAGAGCGAAGCTTCCAGTCGGGATGTTGAGGATCACTCTCCCGGCTCTCTGCTGGTCCTTCCTCTCCCTCTGCTGGATGTTCTTTGCAAGTGTGTGTATACTTCATTTTATGACAAGGATTTAAAGGTCCCCTATTATACTATATATAATATATATTCATTACTTTATTATAGGTCAGATATACAAAACATGTCTCTGAAGTGTTTGGCCTCAAAATACCAAAAAGATCATTGCAGCATCCCATAATCCCCTCTGTTTCAGCCCTGTTTCAAAAGTGCGTTACCTTGGTTGGTGATTGGTTAATGGTTAGATAAACCAAAAAATGGTTGACATCATAAAGTGGCCAAAATCAGCTCTTTTTCAGACAGGTTTTTATATAAATGGATCAGGACAAAAAGTGAGCAAATATTTTTTCCTCAAACTTTCAGAATCTCTTTACACAGAGGTTATGTATACAATACATGAAAAAGTGGATTTTGCATAATAGGTGACCTTTAAATGCATTTATAGAAACATGTAAATATTATATTATCTTATCAATGTAATTTGCACATACTGCACAAAACTGTTTATTTCTTCTCAGTGTAATAGAGGGCTAGTGCGTGTGTTTTAATGTTCTAACTGTCATTTCTCTTTTGAATATTGTATGTTTCTTGACTATTGCAGTATTTATATTATTTTCTGAATATGTATTATAATATTTCAGCTGTTAGATTTCCTTTTTATGAGTTGTGTTTCATGTATTTCATTATATATTAATTTATATTTTTCCTAACTCCAAACCTGCTAGGCTTTTGCTATATTGTTATTCACCCTTAAGTAATGTCTCTTGTGTCAAATTTGACTTCAAAGCTTAATCTTGAATAGCACTACAACTACTAACAACTATGTGTTGTTAATAACAGCAAGATTGTATGTGTGTCATTCATTTTATGACAAGTATTGTCTTGCATCATTGGGTTTATTTAAACATGCATTATCATCTCATTTTCAACTCGTCTGTACTTGTGAAACTGATATTGATGAAACTGATTTGCTCGACTGTCTCAAATTGTAATGATTGTGTGCATTGCTTGAATTTCACTTAACAGACTGTATGTGGTTTGTCTTGTGTGTCATGTTTTGCATTTTGTCTTTTTGTTTATGTACGTCTGTAAGTTGTTGCTATTGTCGGGACCCCCTTGAAAACGAGATGGTGCATCTCAAGGGGTTTATCCCAATCAATAAAAATGTCTATATATATTAAATGCATTTAAAAAAAAAAAAAGTCTGTTAAATCAAGCGACGATATGAAGATGTAAGAAATGTTGTCAGTGTCATTTTTTTTTTATAAATACATCCACCAACACGAATCCTCTTTATAATGTTCCAATAATGTGACTACAATTTGAAAACCATTACATTTTGGATTGATTTGAAATCATTGCATCAAATGACCTTTTTTTTTGTCCCTCAGAGGTGTCAGCTGGCAAGGACACACAATCTCTCAAAACATGAAAACTGACAAAGGTAACAAAGGAAATGAAAACATAAAAAGTACTCTACCTTTGTGTATGTTTCTTTCACATGGCCTGCTTCAGCATGGTTTCATTTTAAGTGTTTTATCCCCAATTATATGAGGGGGTTTTTCAAAAATAAAAACGTGTCAACCGGAGTCAGCCACAGAGACGTGCTGCTGCTTGTGGTTTTCTAAGTGTTGAAGCAACACCTGTAGTCTCAGTAACCTGCAGAGCACCAGATAACTGCTATACATACTGTTTTTTTGATATGGTTGTATCTACAAAATTGTCAAACAACATTATCTGTAAAACTATGACCATTTTGGCAAATAAAAACAAGTAATACGCATATAGTATATAGTATAGTATATAGTAACCCAAGCACACACACAGAAAATAACAAGTTCATATCACCTGGATTTTATTATTGATGAGGCATTCCAGATTCAGAAAATCCATGTAATAAAAATCATTGATTTTGCCGATGCATTCTTATATTTTCTCAATTAAAAAACAAATTTAAATTGTTTCCATCTTCATCAGCTTCACAGATGACTTTCTTAAGAATAAAACTCCTTCAATAAACAATACATCTGACTTAATTCCCAATATTCATCTAAAAAAGTGAATGAACTGGGCACCATCCTCTAATTTCAGCTATACATTGTGATTTATATCCTTGGACAGGCATCAATATTCATGTGGCGGAAAGCCCTGATGTCCAGTCGTAGCGTCTCCAACGCTACGCATCCTGAGGGATTCTGGGACGTCCTTCAGTGCACTCACACTCCTCTTTGTGATGCGGACCAGGCGCCTGGCTCTGGTTCTGTCCCTTGGTCTGGCAGGCGGGGCAGCAGGCGGTGCGTCCGTCCTGTCTGCAGCCGGGACAGGACAGAACCAGCTGGCAGCAGAACCGGGTGGAGCAGAGCTGGTACCGGTCCCAGGGAGAGCCGCAGTACCTGCATTCTGCACAGAGATGTAATTAGGTTCCTTATTCTAAAACAAAGAGTTGCATTAGACAAGTGGTTCCCAACCAGGGGTGTGGGAGGCTGTGGCTCAGTGGGTAGTGCGCTGACATTTGAATCAGGGGTTAGCAAGTTCGAGTCCCACTGCAGTCAGCATGTCGTTGTGTCCCTGGGCAAGACACTTCACCCCAAATTGCTGCTGTGGGGATTGTCCAAGGTATTGAATGTATGTAAGTTGCTTTGGATAAAAGCGTTTAACAAATGTAATGTAATGTAATGGGTACGGGGACCCCTAGGGGTACTTCAGGGGATCGTAGGTGCCTGGTCTTCCGTTCTAAAAATAGCGCAAGTCATCGCCAAATAAATAAATAACTTTTGTCTTACAGAAATACAGAAAATAACAATGTTTCTTTTCAAATATGACGGATAAAAGTGACTGTTCAGAGGGGAGGGGCCATGTCCAAAAAAAATACATTATTGGCTTTCTAAATAAGTAGTCTTAACATAATTTATTTACCTTACAACAAGTGTACATTTCAAGTTTAAATGCATTTTGTGATTTATATATATCAGTGCTGGTTTTCAACAGTTGCTAAATGTTTGTTCTGATTACGGAGTCAAATTTGACGTTAAATACAATGCTAAGAAGAGCGCTGTAATGATCTGCAGAGCACAAGGGGATAAGAACCTTTGTTTTCCAACATTCTACCTGTCAGGACAGATGCTGTCTGTTTGCTGTAACACTAAGTATCTGGGACACATCATCACAGATGAAATGGCTGATGAGGATGACATGTATAGACAGCGGCGTGTCTTATATATGCAAGCCAACATGTTGGCTAGAAAACTCTCTTGGTGTTCAGATAAGGTTAAGGTGAACCTCTTTAGAGCTTATTGCACTCCTCTCTATACTGCCCCCTTGTGGGTCAAGTATAAGAAGGCAAGCCTCAAGAAGCTCCAGGTTGCTTATAATGACTGTTTGCGTATACTGCTTAGAAAACCAAGGTGGTGCAGTGCAAGTGAAATGTTCTGTAACGCACGAGTCAACACGTTCCATGCTCTTTTGAGAAATCGAATGTACAAATTCATCTGTCGATTGAATGTTTCTCATAACTGTCATTATGCTGCTGTCAAATCCGTGTTTCAGTGCGATACCAGTCACCTCTGTGGAAACATTGGTATAACTGCCTTTTTTAATTTATATTTGAGTGTTGTATGTTTTTGTAATAATGGACCAAGAGTCTCTTTAAATAAAGATGATGATATACGTGATTTTCATTTAGGATCACGATAACAGATGAGTGAGGGGTACTTATAGAATGGCGACCAGCTCAAGGGGTACACGAGACAAAAAAGGTTGGGAACCACTGGAACTGCATGTCAGTGTTTATTCATGTTTCTCGATACTCTTAATTATTTTTGTATTTCAGAAATAGCTATCCAAAACAAAGATAAATGAAATGTTTTTATCATTTTAGTTTCAGTGTACAGAGCAAAGGCCTTAGTGCTTTTCATGTTATTTGTGATGTTATACTGTCTGTATTTAATCAATTAATTGGTGCTGATTTATGCACAAACTAACCTGAGATGATGTCTTTGTTGGAGGAGATGGCGTAGCGTTCATCAAACACAAAAAGCTTTCCTCTGTAGAAACCCTCTGGGAACTGTTCCAGATATCTGTGGATTCCACCTTTCAGCTGGTACACCTCTTTACACACATCCTACAGGTAACAAAAAACAGATACATTCAACTAAAATTACAGAACATTTAACAATACAAATATTTTCCGAAAATAATTTATTCCGTGTTGGTATTATTCCTATCTATATAATGAGTTTTTTTCTGCAGAGGGATGTGTTCACAATGTACACATTTGTTCCTAAAAACAGGGCCAAACTGTTTTTTAATGGTTGTTGACAGAATTGTTCGTAATAATGGAGAGACAAAAATACCTACCTAAGAGTCCTTCAGTAAAATCCTTTGACGCTAATGTGTGAACAAAACAAGTGTTTTGATCCTAAGCTTTTTGCTTCGGACATCTATGCAAATTAGCAAATATTTAAACGCAGCATTTCAGAAAATTAACTATTGTATAAAATGTTCTTGATTTTAGTAATCACCTGGGGAAGTTTCATGGTGATATCGCTTAGTATTTGTTACCCTTTTCACCTGTAGTGTCCTGCCTTGACTGTAAACTGAGTGTTGGGCAAAGGACAAGCAGACAATGACTCAGCAGAGACTGAAAGCAAAATGTGAGTTACTGCAGGACGAGGCATTCCTGTTAGCTCTTTAACAACTACATTAAAATAAAGCGTCCAATTGGCTTTCTTTAGTTTAAATCCAAGACGAGTCCTCTCACTTTGGTAACCTACAGGTAACAATACACAGATAAATTAAACTAGACTTATAGGACATTTTACTACAATACAAATCTTTTCTTAAAATAATTTATTCAGTTTTCGTATTATTCCTATATCTATTCCTATCCATTTTTTGTAATGGTTGTTGACTACATTTTCGTATTAATGGAGTGACAAAAAGACCTATCTAAGAGTCCTTCAGTAAAATCCTTTGACGATCATTATGTCAAAAAAGATAAAACAAGACATTTGAACCAGCTTTCTGTGCTGTGGACATCTGTGCAAATTGGCACATATTTAAGAAATGTTAAGCCTTAAAGACACATTTTAGAGAACTTGTAATATGAATTGTTCTTGTGTTAATGTTAGTAATCACCTGGGAAAGTTCAACTGGGATTCATCTAAAAAAAATGTACCCTTTTCACCTGTAGTGTCCTGCCTTGACTGTTAACTGAGTGTTGGTCAAAGGACAAGCAGACAATGACTCAGCAGAGACACAATGTGAGTTACAGCATCCCTGTTAGCTATCTAACAACTACATTAAAATAAAGAGTCCAATTGGCCCAAGACGAGTCCTCTCACTTTTGAGCGGAGGTAGGCAGAGCCGCGCTCACAGCGGATCCCCCCGGTGCAGTACATCAACACCTTCTTGTCTCTGAACAGATCCAGGTTCTGGTCCACGTAGTCCGGGAAGTAGCTGAACTTACGGATGCTCGGGGCGAGACACTGAGTAAACTGGCCCTGGAGGGAAAACATTAACACAGTTCAAAAAGACAGTAAGTAAAACCTGGATTTCTTTAATTATGATAGGTGTGAGGAAACTGTCATTCTCCATTTTAGTGAACATTTTTAAGGATCTAGCAGGAATTTATCTTTCTCAATATCATTTAAATGTATAATTTGGCAAAAAATTTAATTATGTTTTTGGTGAAAACCCTTTTATAACTTACAATTTTACTCTCATAAAAATTGCGGCAGTCCAGGAGGATGGTGTCATTGTTCTCATCCGCTTTAGCCAAGAGAGCCTCCACCTCTTTGTGAAACTCCTCCGGCTCCAGATGAACTCCTGAGAGGAGAGACAGATACATAACTCATCATCACAAAATCAGCTGTAACGAAACAAAACTCCTACCACAATATAAGAGCTAAATAAACATGTAAATAATAGGAAAACTGTTATTGTGACAACAGAATGACACAAACGATACCTGCCAGTTGGTAGGACACCACATCAGGATCCATTCCCATTGGGACGATTTCCTTATAGACTCCGACCCTCAGGTCTTTAAAACACTCTGCACCACCATCACTTGTCTGAACACACACAGAGACAGAGACAAACACTTCAAATACATAGAATTGGCATAAAAAAGAATAAAGGACTTGTTTACTTTTGCATTTTTGATACCTGGGCTGTGGTGTATATTAATATCTGTACAGTATGCCCCAATGCCCCAACTCATTTATCAAATGAACAGGAATTACATTGTTTGCCTTTTTTAATGCAGCAACAAATTGGTCGTTCCTGTTTATATCATGTAAAAAGAATAACATTCAATCAAATTGAAACCGGCCCGTTGTCTTGATCCAGACATTTGAGACAGTATCGGCCTAATATCCAATATTGGTGCGTTCCTCATTTTGAATGTCATATGATTCTTTAATGTTATGTCACAGGCTTAAAACTCTGTCTGCTGTGGCTTATGGTGCAACACAAAACAGACATATTGATGCAATGTGCTGTGTAGAAACATAACTGTATGTAATGTATGTCTAACATCCTCCAACATAGACTGACCTTAAAATCATCCTTTTCCATCTTGAAGAGAGGGTGGGATCGCGTTGCGTCGATGTAAGCGTCGGTCGCCATGTTGGTGCCTCCAACTGTTCCATTGATGCCTTCAGTCGCCACCCTCACCTGAGAACAGGATATATTTCAAAAGGACGGTTCAACTGAGGTAAATGCTTTCTTGTAAAATTCTGTAGTATCTAAGTTTGAGGCAGGATAGGAGAATTGAATCACCTTGCCAGTTAAGTGCAGCTTCTCACACAAAGCTCTCTGCCAAGCACAGATGACATGTGGATCCTCAATTTGACAGTAACGGTAATAGAGGAGAACCTTGCCTGGACCTCTGAAAAGAAGAATAACAATGACAGATAGAAATGTAAATGGACTGTACTTATATAGCGCTTTATCCAGTCTTTAAGACCCCTCAAAGCGCTTTACATACTCCATGTCATTCACCCATTCACACCCATTCATACAGAGCAGTGTACCTTACTCTAGGAACTAACATTCACACACATTCACACACCGTTGGCCATCGGGGTTAAGTATCTTGCCCAAGGATACATCGACATGTTGACTGCATGGGCTGGGATCGAACCCCTAACCCCAGATATCAGTATTTATAGAAAAAGATAGGAAATGTAATCAATATTTTAGAAATTACAAATGTTAACTTGATTTTAAGATGAATTTTCACTGTGGAACAGACAACTAAACCTAGACAGAGGGAATCAAAATGCAATCAGTACTTCTGGAGCTGCTCCTCAGAGATGTGCCTGGTGTCAGGTATCCAGGCAGAAATGTCCACCGGCTCTGCCTCACACTCGTTCAGCTGCTGTGTTTCAGCTTCTTCTTCCAGCTGGGTCAACAGACACTGATAAGCGTCCTGTGTGAGCCGCTGTATTTCAGGATCATGAGTCCGGGCCACGTGTTTGTGAATGGCAGAGTGTTCTCTAAAGGTCAGAGCACAGCAGCACCAAGAGTAGTCCCCCTCCTCCTGACCGCTGTTCCTCTTGGACGCCACAAAGCCAGCAAACGACTGTGAAGGGGAAAAAACGAGGTGCTCTGAATGTGGAAAATTCAACTTATTTTATACAAATATTATGGCTTTCCAACCTAATTGCGACCTTTCATAGAAAGCCATGTCTACTTGTCAAATGTGAGTTGAAGGGGTTTAATCAAGAGTGATGTGCCCTTCTGGAACTTTTTTGTTTTATTCCTTTTTTTTAACTGAGAAGATATCACTTTTGATGAGATAGTAATTACATGGGGGGAAACATTGATGTGGGACACAATACAAAAATAAAGATAATTTTGAGTAGCAGAATCGTATTTTCTCAATTATTTTACAGGTGACCATTTGACTGAAATTGTATCAAAATATGTCATATTACAATTTACAAATCGCAGGAGATGTAATAAATGTTATAGGCTAAATGTGTTAAAATACTGATGTGCTGCACAAATGCCCTGACCCACACATCATATTCACATAAACACACCTCAGAAAACACTTGGGATTTTGGTACGGACGAATCCCTGCAGAAATCCCACCATAAGTAAAACATAAAAAGGTAATCTTAAGTACAGTATTCTAGTTAGTATACTTAGTAACTTCCCACCTCTGCAAACACTGCAACTATATGTTACTATACATGTAGACCCACTAAAACACATGATCCTAGCTGTGTTTACCTATCTTGCAACGTGTTGAGAGCAAACAACATCAATCAGCTGTTGGTTGTTTATTCACCTTCCTCCTGCACAAGCTGTAGCCTCTTCTCTGTGAGGCAGACAGCTGTTTCTCCTGTCTCACTCCATTACATGTCCGAGTGTCAAGATCCAAGTCATGATCCAAGTCCATGAACTCTGAGAAAGATGTATTATCCTCTGCCATGTTTTTAGGATCTGTAACAATCTACTAATCACTTATAATCTAAGTTATAAGAAAAGTATTCTCTACATGTAGAAGTTATGCATTACCAGGACATTCAATGTTAAATGATGTCGGAAAACATTACATATAACGTCTTAAAATTCCTTTATATAAGTTGTAAACACACAACTGTCACCAAACGTGCTTTAGTAAATATCGACATCGGACGAAAAAGGACGGTGCACCTTCTTCAACTTCTTCTGTTGTGTCACAAAAACAGCTTTTATGTGTATTTACTGCCACCTACTGTATTGGAGTGGGGACCAGAATTATCTATGGAGGACGGAATAAATAAAATAAAATGTTGTATTAACTCTGTTTGTCTTGTATAATATCGATAACACATCATCTTCCTCGGCGCTCCTTTTAACTGTCCTGACTGTGATTTCTTTGGCTGTAATGAATCTGAAATAGGAAACTGTATTCCTTAATGTATTTTTTCTATATGTCTACCCCTGATGGCAACTTTCTTGAATACAAAATATATGATGTTCTTGAAAAATAAAGGGAAAATAAATATATGTTATTCAAAACGATGCACCTTCCTGTTGCCCCGGATGTCCATCACTTGAGTCGGACCGCTAGTATTTTTCTGCTCCACGAATAGCGTCCAGGCTGAATGATCTAGAAGCCCTGCAAAGCTGCATTATTATTTCATATTCTTTTTTTGTCGAATTTCCTTAAATTTATAGTGAAACGGAATAACAAAATGTCCAGGAGACGACACAGCGAGAGCGAGAATGACGGTTAGTGAGCGTTAGTTACATGTGTACAGCTAGCACAATCAGACGTTGTGCTAACGAGCTAACGTTAGCGTGTTTAATCACTTCGATGCAATTATGGTTATAAATTACTTCACGAATTTAAGTTTAAGTATTTTCATTGTAACATTAACATGTCTCACAGTAAATACGGGTTGATTTGTGGTGTCGGTATAGCGGGTTGAAAGCTAGAAGATTTTTGTTTTACCAGTGTTAACCGGTGTATGTTAGCACTAGCTGCTAGGTTAGCTTCTGTTAACCTGTGTGGTTCGTATGGGGGCGGCAACCAAGTGATGTGAATAATACAAATACCTCACTTAGAGTAGTTTATATTAAATGTACCGATGCTTTGTTTTACTATCCACAAGAATATCCATAAACCACTGACGCATGGTTAGTTAAAAGTACTTATTGATGAGCAGTTAAGGGGAAAACCCACCTTAAAACTGAACTATAATTATTTAAAAGTGCAACATCAAAGACGTTTGTGTTACTTTTAGATTCCAATGACTTTTAAAGGATGACTGCTTTTATTGATTGCAAGGATATATGCATGTTTGCTAGATAACAGACATAATTGTCAAGTTGTAACACCATCATCAACTCCATATGTAGTCACTACTAATTCAGGGTCAGTCATATTGAACCTAATGACTCATTGTCTCAGCTTTTCACATGTTCATTTGTTGAAGTTCCTCTGCAAGGAGAACCTGATAGAATACATTTAAATCTGAGCTATATAATATTAACCCTGAAATGTGTTTACAGCCTGGCTTCATAAACACATCTCATGGTGTTACGGTGTATTTTCCATTAAGGCTGCCGTTGAGTTACTCTATCAGTTCCTGTTTGTCTTCCTCTCACTTTGCGGTTATTTTGTTCTTTTGCTCTTTCAGGAGGTCAGGAACACAAAAGGAGGAGAACGTCGGAGCCCATTGAAATAGAAGATCGCCTGGAGTCACTGATATGTCGTGTGGGGGAGAAGGTAAAACGTCCACCAGGGAAATCTAGCTCCAGCAGATCTATGGAGAGCACTTCTCTTCTCCTCACAGGCTCTGATATCATTTAAAACACTATAGTTCAGCAAAAACAAACCAAATTCTTTACTTTTTCTTCACAGAGTACTTCGTCCCTGGAGAGCAACTTGGAGGGGCTTGCAGGTGTCCTGGAGGCCGACCTTCCAAACTACAAAAACAAAATCCTGCGTATTTTATGTGCCGTGTAAGTTCCTCACCACTTCTCACATGCTCACTGTTGAATGCTGACTGTTTGCGTTGTCTTTTCTCACCGAGTTGTGTTTGGGTGACAGCGCCCGCCTCCTCCCCGAGAAGCTGTCTGTGTACACGACTCTGGTCGGCCTCCTGAACGCCAGGAACTACAACTTTGGGGGCGAGTTTGTGGAAGCCATGATCAGACAACTCAAGGAGACTCTGAAAAACAACCTGTACAACGAAGCTGTTTACTTGGTACGCTGACTTTTGTTCATCGACTGTGACTGTTATTTTGTATATATTGATTGTTGTGCTTTTATCTATGTCTTAATGTGTGCATATGCGTGTGTCTGTTGATTATTTATATATAGGTATATACATATTGTTATATATTTTTGTATTCGGGATTGTGGGAAACGGTATTTCAATCTCTCTGTCTGTACACACAAACTGACAGATTGACAATAAAGTTGACTTTGACTCACACCTAAAATAATCCTCACATCTCTTTTGCTTTCTCTGTTGATACGATATCTTCTCTTTGTAGGTGCGTTTTCTGTCTGACTTGGTCAACTGCCATGTGATCGCCGCTCCTTCGATGGTGGCCATGTTCGAAAACTTTATCAGTGTTACTCAAGAGGAAGATGTACCACAGGTGGGTGGAAGAGGGTGGAGAGCTAATACGTATTTGAAATGAAAACTAACAAAGTGCAACTGCAATGTTTTGAAGCTTTTTGGCGTCACTCAAACATGTCTCCTAACTCTTACTAAATGTTTACTGTAGAGTTACACATTCCTGATAAATGCAAGATTGTCTTTGACTTTACACCAGATGACTTTACACCAGATGACTTTATACCAGATGACTTTACACCAGATGACTTTACACCAGATGACTTTACACCAGATGACTTTATACCAGATGACTTTACACCAGATGACTTTATACCAGATGACTTTATACCAGATGACTTTACACCAGATGACTTTACACCAGATGACTTTACACCAGATGACTTTATACCAGATGACTTTACACCAGATGACTTTACACCAGATGACTTTATACCAGATGACTTTACACCAGATGACTTTTACACCAGATGACTTTACACCAGATGACTTTACACCAGATGACTTTACACCAGATGACTTTACACTAGATTACTTTATACCAGATGACTTTACACCAGATGACTTTATACCAGATGACTTTATACCAGATGACTTTACACCAGATGACTTTACACCAGATGACTTTACACCAGATGACTTTATACCAGATGACTTTACACCAGATGACTTTACACCAGATGACTTTACACCAGATGACTTTACACCAGATGACTTTATACCAGATGACTTTACACCAGATGACTTTACACCAGATGACTTTACACCAGATGACTTTACACCAGATGACTTTACACCAGATGACTTTACACTAGATGACTTTACACCAGATGACTTTACACTAGATGACTTTATACCAGATGACTTTACACCAGATGACTTTACACCAGATGACTTTACACCAGATGACTTTACACCAGATGACTTTACACCAGATGACTTTACACTAGATGACTTTACACCAGATGACTTTACACCAGATGACTTTATACCAGATGACTTTACACCAGATGACTTTACACCAGATGACTTTACACCAGATGACTTTACACCAGATGACTTTACACCAGATGACTTTACACCAGATGACTTTACACTAGATGACTTTACACCAGATGACTTTATACCAGATGACTTTACACTAGATGACTTTACACCAGATGACTTTACACCAGATGACTTTATACCAGATGACTTTACACCAGATGACTTTATACCAGATGACTTTACACCAGATGACTTTACACCAGATGACTTTACACCAGATGACTTTACACCAGATGACTTTATACCAGATGACTTTACACCAGATGACTTTACACCAGATGACTTTACACTAGATGACTTTACACCAGATGACTTTACACTAGATGACTTTATACCAGATGACTTTACACCAGATGACTTTACACCAGATGACTTTATACCAGATGACTTTACACCAGATGACTTTACACTAGATGACTTTACACCAGATGACTTTACACCAGATGACTTTATACCAGATGACTTTACACCAGATGACTTTACACCAGATGACTTTACACCAGATGACTTTACACCAGATGACTTTACACCAGATGACTTTATACCAGATGACTTTACACTAGATGACTTTATACCAGATGACTTTATACCAGATGACTTTACACCAGATGACTTTATACCAGATGACTTTACACCAGATGACTTTATACCAGATGACTTTATACCAGATGACTTTACACCAGATGACTTTATACCAGATGACTTTACACTAGATGACTTTACACCAGATGACTTTATACCAGATGACTTTACACCAGATGACTTTACACTAGATGACTTTATACCAGATGACTAATATCCACTAGATGACTTTACACCAGATGACTTTATACCAGATGACTTTACTACCAGATGACTTTACACCAGATGACTTTTATACCAGATGACTTTACACCAGATGACTTTATACCAGATGACTTTACACCAGATGACTTTACACCAGAGGACTTTACACATGATGACTTACACACAGATGACTTTACACCAGATGACTTTATACCAGATGACTTTACACCAGATGACTTTACACCAGATGACTTTACACCAGATGACTTTATAACCAGATGACCTTTAAACCAGATGACTTTACACCAGATTGACTTTACACCAGATGACTTATACAGATGACTTTACACCAGATGACTTTACACCAGATGACTTTACACCAGATGACTTTACACCAGATGACTTTACACCAGATGACTTTACACCAGATGACTTTATACAAGATGACTTTACTACCAGATGACTTTACACCAGCTTGACTTTACACCGATGACTTTATACCAGATGACTTTAACCAGATGACTTTATACCAGATGACTTTTACACCAGATGACTTTATTCACCAGATGACTTTACACCCAGATGACTTTTACACTAGATGACTTTACACAGATTGACTTTACACCAGATGACTTTACACCAGCTGACTTACACCAGATGGACTTTATACCAGATGACTTTACACCAGATGACTTTATACCAGATGACTTTACACCAGATGATTTA